CAGGAGAATTTCGTCTCTGGGTTTTGCGGATGATGTGGTCCTCCTAGCTTCATCCATCTCTGACCTTCAGCTCTTGCTGGGTAGGTTCGCGGCCGAGTGTGAAGCGGCTGAGATGAGGATCAGCATCTCAAAATCTGAGACCATGGCTCTTGACTGGAAAAGGGTGGCTTTCCAACTCCAGGTTGGGAGAGAGGTCCTACCTCAAATGGAGGAGTTTAAGTATCTTGGGGTCTTGTTCACGAGTGAGGGTAGGAGGGATCTGGAGATCGACAGGCGGATTGGTTCGGCGTCTGCAGTGATGCGGACGCTGAGCTGATCTGTCGTGGTGAAAAGGGAGCTGAGCCAGAAAGCCAGGCTCTCGATTTACCGGTCGATCTACGTCCCAATCCTCACCTATGGTCATGAGCTTTGGGTAATGACCGAAAGAACAAGATCGCGGATACAAGTGGCCGAAATGAGTTTCCTCCGTAGGGTGGCCGGGCTCAGCCTTAGAGATAGGGTGAGGAGCTCAGACATTCGGGAGGGACTCGGAGTAGAACCGCTGCTCCTCCGGATCGAAAGGAGTCAGTTGAGGTGGTTTGGGCATCTGGTCAGGATGCCTCCTGGACGCCTCCCCGGGGAGGTGTTTCGGGCATGTCCTGCCAGCAGGAGGCCCCCGGGTCAACCCAGGACACATTGGAAAGGTTACATCTCCAATGTGGTCCGGGAACGCCTTGGGGTCCTGCCAGAGGAACTGGTGGAGGTGGCCGGGGAGAGGACGGCCTGGAGTGTCATGAGCCGGGGTGAGTACTCGTCACATCATTCACCACCTTTGAGCTCTGATTACAGGAGAGGGAGCTACAGCTGTTTCTCATCAGCGGGCCAGCTATATAAGGAGGATGAGGACCAGATTACGACGCCGGATGATTGCCGTTTACTGGAAGTCGCTTGCCTCCGAGTTTTTGCTCTGTTTACTCTTTGAGATTTGAACTTTGAATTTTTTGGAATATTCGCTCATTAATGTTTGATACCTACCTCAGGTTCCTGGATTCCTGGATTACGTGCTCTGCCCCTGGAAGGAAATATCTGGTTCGTTCCTGTATCTCCTCCGCCTGCCAACCCGCTCTCCACCTCGCTCACGCTCCCTCTCCGGATCAATATCCTCGCTCATTCTCCTACTCACCTTCATCTTGGACCGCTTCCTCATCTTGGATATCACCCCGGCTCACTCCCCTCCTAACAACAACTTCAATTCCGCACAGTAAGCCAGACTACAGAGCAAAGACTCCCGGAACTACAAACACCAGACTCACCTCTGTTTTCCTGTAGACGCCGGTTCCGGATTCTACAACCCGCTGGACTCCAGTGCGCTCTTAGTTTCCCGTTTAATAAATATCATTTTACCTTTTAACTTGTCTCCGGTCTCTGATTCTGCATGTCTTGGGTTAAGCACATACCTCAGAACATGACATGGAGCTCCCTAGTTGGGATGCTGCCCCCACGAACCGGACCCGGATAAGTGGAGGAAGACGACGACGACTTACAATTTATAACCTATAGGGCATGTTGTGGTCTGTGGGGGAAACCGGAGTACCCGGAGGAAACCCACGTATGCATGGGGAGAACACGCAACTCCATGCAGAAAGGCCGCAGCAGAGTTTCGAACCTGCAACCTTCGTGCTGCGAGGCAACAGTGCTAACAACTGCACCACCATGCAGGCTGCACCTGGCCATACTGGGGCCCTAAGCAGAATTTTATCAAGTTCATGAGCTTCGGGTAGTCACTAAAGGAGCGAGATCACATATACAAGCAGCCAAAATAAGTTTTCTCCACAGTGCCTGGGCTCTTCCTTAGAGATAAAGTGAGAAGCTAGGTTGACTCGGGAGGGGCTTGGAGTAGAGCTGCTGCTCCACAACTTGAAGAAATGTTGAGGTGGCTCGGACATCTGGCTAGGGTTCCTTGGATGCAGCGCTGGTGAGGTTTTCAAGCCATGTCCAACCAGGAAGATACCCAAGGGAAGACCCAGGACACAATAGTTCTCGGCTTGCCAGGGAACCCCTTGGGATTTCTCCGGAGGAGCTGGGCCAAGTGGTTGGGGAGAGGGAAGTCTGGGCTTGTCTACTTAGGCTGCTGCCCCCTTGACCCAACTCCAGATAAGCAGACGCTAATGGATGGATGCACATACGGATATATACGCTGCCTGTCCAAAAAAATAAAGTCACGATCAACAATAATATTTCGTTGGACTACTTTTACCTTTGATTACATTGCACATTCACTGTGGCATTGTTTCAACAAGCTTCTGCAACATCACAAGATTTATTTCCATCCAGCGGTGCGTTAACCAAGATCTTGCATTGATGATGGTAGAGTCTGACTGCTGCGTAAAATCTTTTCCCACATTCCAAAGATTCTCAGTGGTGTTAAAGTCTGGACTCTATGGTGCCCAGTCCACAAGTGAATCATTTCATCTGCCTCTCTTCTTACCCTGATGTGCCCATCACTCTGGAACAGAGTAAATCTGGACTCATCAGACCACATCACCTTCTTCAGAGTCCAATCTTTATGCTCCATAACAAACAAAAGCTGAAAGTGTGTGAAACAATTATAATAAATAATAAAGAAAGACAAAGAACTGAGAATTGACCAAATGCTTGTTTATTAGAAAAATCTTAATCTTAACTGGAAATCAGCACTTAATGTCTCACAATAAGTTAAAGGCAACAAAAGGAAAGAAACCTGTTGCATACCCATATTTGTGCAGGCTGAATCCAATGATTAAAAATTAAAGATAATTACAAAATATATGTAAATGTTTATAGATACATATAAATACATCCATACGGAAGTCCATTTATGCATTTTTTTTCAGTGGGAGAAAAAAAACAAAGGAGCGGTATCGTATAATAACAAAAAAAAAATCTATTTTAACAGAGAAACCTTTTCATAATAGTGTGTTAATATCTCTTAATAATGAGAAAGGTCATGACAGAAAAATGATGATATATATTGTGGCGTTCTATCCCAAATGAATACATCCGAATTTCAGTCCCTGACGTTTAAATTTTTAGAATTACAGCAGTTGCAATAAAGTAGGAGTACTTCCAAACGGCGAATTACTCATTAAATTACACTAGCTACCCCTCCCTCCACCGTCTCCTCCACACACACCTTGTTGCCAAGGCAACAGACCGCTTTTCACATCACGAGAGATTGTGTAACAGGAGCGTAACACTAAGACACCCAAACAATCCCCACACAAAGAACACATTCGTTGTGACATCGGGACATCACTTTTCTTTATGTTGTTTTATTAATGTGAAGCGGTTTCAATGAACTGGAGGTAAACGTTACCTGTGAAAGCCACGCCTCTGCCAGAAAACAGAATTAATGTTGTGTAACTGAACACGAACAATGACAACTGATAAATGGAAATCCGGTGTAAAATCTAATAGACTAGAAAAAAGTCCCAGTATGCTGAGAGGTACATTTTTATGTACTGGTACTGCGTATTGGAGCATACTGGCCCACTTACAGCACTATAAATGGGCTCCCTTTGACTTCATATTCTCCCTCCAGTTTTTCTGGATGAGATTCAAACGTGTTGTGAGAAGTCGACGTTTTACGGTTACAAACATTCTTACCAATACCAGATGTTAAACTTGTTTTTCCAAGAAACTTTTCTTGTAACAACCTGTTTTAGCACCTTTGTTTCTTTTTTGCCTAGCACTGAAAGCAATTAATAATAAAAAACACATAAATGTACAACCTATGCATGTGTACTCATGTCTCGTTCCTAACATTCTGAGTCATCATCCTGATCGCAGATTCCCTGCTGACAGGCCTCACACAGCGCCTTCTCATGAGGTTTGGTCCACACTTTATCGGAAGCTGTGGAGCCTCTGTCGCTGCCGTCGTCCTCCCCGTAGCAATTCTTACGGATTTTAGAAAAGAGCTTGAGCAAAGCTTCTTCCACTGCTCTCTCGGAGAAACCAGGGAAGTCAAAAAACCCCTCTTGACAGCGACGACAGTCCTGTCCAAAGGGTCGCATGAGCACCGTGCCACGGCCATTTCTCAGCCGGTAACGGAACAACACGGTCACCCGACCGGAGGGCCAGGACCTTCGGCAAGTTCGACAGTAAAATCTGAGGGGACACAAGATAATAAGTACTATTGTCAGAATCATGTCAAATTTATTTGTATTATGTACAATCAATGCAATTTTTAACATTTTTACTCGTCATCCTTTAGATTTTCCTAAAAGTGGCACTACTCTACAAAGGCAGCTTCTTGTCACATGATCATCACATGCTCATTTGTAAAACTTCACATGAAATATTTACTAAAACTCTCCTTAACCTTATCAAAGAAAGGTTCACTTATGCAACAAAATATTCAGACTCATAAAGCATTGCATATACACTGTTGCTTACAATTTCACACCCTTCCTAAAATACAGTCAGCTGATTTTGGATTATCTCAATAAATTGGCTCATCTGTGGCATTTCAGCCAACCATGGCAACAGAGCGGTCTAGAAAAAACAAATTCACTGAGACTTAAGTTGTGGTGTTTGTGGTTGAGGTAGAGGCTTGGATAGAAAGTTTCATCGCCTTTGAGTGGTGCAGCGTTGTTGTAGTGGTGAATGCTGTGAGTGTGGCGGAGAGGATCTGTGGTGGACTTAAAAAAGAAGTGGTCATATCTGAAGGTAGAGGCAAAGAGGAAGATGGTTTTTCATTTTATTGATGCCACCCAACAGTGTTCAAATATATGCCAAATCTCAGGGGGACATTTAATCTAACCTAAAGGGGCTTTAAGCAGGAAATGATATTGTTCATCATATCAATCAAATAGCATCCTGTCTGTTGGCTAATTCCCACTGGAATGAGCCGGTTGCTCGAAACTCGAGAAGAGTCAAAAGCTGCAGGTGCACCAGTATTGCATGGTTTCAGCAAATCTAAAGCAGGCCTAGCCAAGAAATCTAGACAACCCCTAGCAGTAGCAAAAGATTCTGGTCTGCAGGTTGGTCTCGTCATTCTCCACTCTTCTCAGCAGGTCTACCATTGGCTCGGGCCACTCACAGCGCTCTACTTTTGTAGAGATGCTGGCAGGCTTAACACCATTATGACAGAGCTTTTTTGAAGAAAATAAAGTTGGTGACAGCAGAGCTACAAACAAGCAAAACAACAAAGGAATGGTACTCATTTGAAATAGCTTTAGACTTTGGCTTCTTCTACTTCTTCTTTAACAATGACTGGCCCCTTAACTGATTTCTGATGCTATGATTACATCATGTTGTTTGTTGCTCTGTTTGGACCTAGCGCTGTCGAATTGCATGCAGGGACAGTTTGAAAAACAACTATAGACTCCCCCCCCCCCACACACAAACACACACACGACTGAGCTATGTTTATGGGTCATGGTCAGACTACCGGAGTCAGAATTTGCGTAAAGTTGTATACATTTTTCTACAAGTCACAAAGTTAGTAACTTTTCATTCTGAGGATAGGAAGCTTTATTAAAAAGACCCCTGTTCAGTTATATAATTTAATCTTGTTACTTTATATATTTAAAAACACAACAATTTTTTAAGTACATACTTTCCACGAGCACAGTGGCAGAAGACTTTCCAGCCTCTCTTCCTCTCTTCTGGGCTGACTTTATTATTCAGTGTGTAGTTAAAATTGATATTCCAGTCATCATCATAGTCCACCTCATCATCCAGCAGTTCATTAAATGTGTCCTGCCACAAGGATGGTGTCCACTCTGCAGGAACAAAAGACAAAATCTAACTTGAAAATGTACAAAAATGTAAACCTATACTGTAGAAAACCTAATGAACACTAACTGTGAGAACCTACTATAAAATTTCTGCTTTAAAAAAAAATGTAGCAATAAATAAGATAATCAAAAATTAATATTATATCACAGTCATTTTATTGTATGTTTAATTTCTAATTTCCGATAAAACCACCACAAATCCTGCTTTATAATACAAGATCTAATAGCGTACTCTACAGTCCTACAAATAAATCGTGATGTAACGTCGCAATGCATTGTAAGATGTAGCCCTAGACAAACAAGCGTGTATTTTGCATGGGTGCCTACTGGTCTGAGTTCCCAGCTTGTCTCAAAGTTGTAGTTACGTCTCCTAAATATGGTCAGACAGGAAGGAACTAAGCACCGCTGTTAGGGGTGTTGCAAATTGGACTCTTGGTATGCATAGGGGACATTTTTTTATCCATTTCCCAAAGCCAGGTAGGGTCCGCGACAACATAAACAACTGGGAAGTAAAACGGGTTAAGCCAAAGACAGGAAAAAGAGGTGTTGGCAGTATTTATGTGAAAGAGCAGATTTTCACAGTCTAGAGCAGATCAAGGGGTGCGCGTATTTTTGCTCTATACATTTTGCCGGTGGGAAAGGTCCTACAGCCATGAATGGGCGACGGTGACACAGGAGTTAAGCACTTGCCCTGTAATCCGAAGGTTGCAGGTTCGAGTCCTGCTCAGTTTGCTGCTATCATTGTGTCCTTGGGCAAGACACTTACCCCCCTCTGCTGGTGGTGGTCAGAGGGACTGGTGGCGCCAGTGCTCGGCAGCCTCGCCTCTGCCAGGGCAGTTGTGGCTACATCGTAGCCCATCCTCACCAGCGTGTGAATGTGTGTGTGAATGGGTGAATGACTGAATGACTGATTGTGTTGTAAAGCGCCTTGGGGGGTACCAGGACTCTAGAAGGCGCTATGTCAAATACAGGTCATTTACCATTTACCATGAATGACAACTCAATTCAACTCAACTTTATTTATAAATCGCGCCTTACAGGCAAAAACATGCCACCAAGGCGCTACACAGATCAAGTAAAAACATAAAACATTAGGTCCAGAAAATAAAAACACTGGATCACAAGATACAGACAAAAAAACACAGTGAATGCACAGATCACTTTAAGTAAAACAATAAAAACTAGTTAGAAAGATTAAAAGACAGATCATAAAAGTAGGTTTTTAGCCTTGCCTTAAAAACCGCCACAGAGGTGGAGGCCCTTATGCTGAGAGGACGCTCGTTCCAAAGCTTAGGACCTGCCACAGCAAAGGCCCTATCACCACGTGTCTTTAGGCGCGATCTTGGGACCGAGAGGAGCATGAGGTTCTCGGAGCGGAGTGACCATGCAGGGGTGTGCGGTTGAAGCAATGAAAACAAGTAAGGAGGGGCCAGACCATTTAACGTTTTAAAAACTACCAAAAGTATCTTAAAACGAATCCTTACATCAACGGGCAGCCAATGAAGCGCACCCAGGACAGGAGTAATGTGATTATACTTTCGCCTGCCCTCTAAAATCTGGCAGCAGCATTCTGCACCATTTGCAACCTGGCTATTGAGCCCATGCTCAAACCGAATAAAAGAGAGTTACAGTAGTCCAATCGCACCGAGAAAAAAGCATGGACTACCATCTAAAGATCATGCCGTGACAGGAAAGGTTTGATCTTTGACAGCCGACGAAGGTGGAAAAAGGAGGAGATCACTCCATTAATGTGGGTGTCAAAACAAAGGGCGCTATCCAGTTTAACACCAAGATTAGTCACTGAAGCACTAGAATGTCTGCGTGAAGCAAACAATATAGCCTCTGTTTTCTGATCATTTAAGCTCAGAAGATTTTCACTCATCCAGGTCTTGATCTCCGTCAAACAATTCGTAAGATTAGAAATAGAGAGACATCCTGACGTGTTCAGAGGCAGGTACAGCTGACAATCGTCAGCATAAAGGTGGAAGTGAACTCCAAGCTCACAACAGGTATCACCTTAGGGCAGAATGTAAGTAGAAAACAACAAAGGTCCCAATATCGAGCCCTGTGGTACCCCCAGGGTAAATCAGAGTACTCTGAGGAATAACTTCCCATCCTTACACACATCTTTCTATCTGTCAGATATAATCTGAAGGGCTAACCCTAAAATCCCGACATAATGATGGAGACGGTGAAGCAGCACTTCATGACCTATCGTGTCAAAGGCAGCCGTGAGGTCCAGCAGAAGTAACAACACAGAATTACTGCTATCAGTAGCTAGACAAATGTCATTGAGCACACCAACCAGTGCAGTCTCAGTGCTGTGTAGAGCTCTGAAGCCAGACTGGAAAGTCCAAAAATGGCACTCTCATCCATAAAAACCAAGAGCTGGTGGTAAATACATTTCTCTAGTACCTTACTTAAGAATGGAAGTTTAGAAATGGGCCTGTAGTTTGCAGACAGTGAAGCATCCAGTCCAGGCTTTTTGAGCAAAGGTTGAATAACTGCCTTTTAAAAATCGTCAGGGACTATACCAGAGCTTAGGCTCATGTTAATTATGTGCAATATTAGAGGGACGACTACTGGAAAAACTTCTTTAGGCGCGTAGGCATCACGTCATCCGGCGAGCCGCTCGGCTTAGCCTCCCCAACGATCTTGTTCAAGTCATCTAAACTAATTTGTTGAAATGCTACCAAACCTCTGATTGTGGTCACAGAAGGGCTGCATTCCGGTGCCCTAGACATGGTGGCCTGGAGCGCAGCTACTTTCCCCATAAAAAAAGTCAAGAAACTCATCACACATTTTGGCTGAAGCCTGCACCACGTGGTGATCATTCACTTTCAAAACTGAGTTAATTGCGGTATAAAGTACTCTGGGGTTATTTGAGTTTAAGGAAATGAGATTGGAATAGTATGCAAATTTCGCAGATCTAACTGCCTCTTGGTAAGATATCCAACTGTCACGTAGAGCAATTAGGAAAACATACAGATTATCCTTCTTCCACTGTCTCTCGCATCTTCTACATGTCCTTCTTGCGGCATGAGTAGAGTCCGTCGACCATAAATTTACCATATGCTTTCCCCTGAATGACAGGCCGATACTAGCAGTGCCTTCAGATGCGGAGTTACCCAAAACGAAAAGGTTCAGCTGCACGTCTCAGCTAAACAGCATTCAAACGTGGACGAAAAAGCTTTTGACCAGAGGTGGGTGGTATACAAAACACAGTGACACAAATAATAACTCCAGAGTAAAAAAATAATTTAGAAGACTCAAGCATTGTGAGTAATAATTGCTTGAGCATAAACATTTATATTTTGTTTCTCTCGATTTGTTTTTATCGATGTCTGAGCGGTCTGTCCATGTTTTATCAATGGTGGTCAGCCATGGTCGTTGGATCATGGCTGACCATTAAGAAAATAATCATCGATTTGCCTACGCTACAGTCACATCCAATAGTAATGCAATGATTAATCTTAAAAACTCAGAGGCTTATCAGTACCTATAGTAATAAAGGGGCTGTGTTGTTTTAAAAGTGGTGGGACACATTATTGTTTACTTAAAAGCAAAGTAATTTCTTTGTTCAATTTTCGGCTTGTTCCATTATTTGAACTGCACTCATATCTGTTTAATGTAAAGATGCATGAAGAAAGTATTTCAAAGTAAACACACATAAACAGATTTAAACATCTTTTGACCCTAAAGGAGGCCTACGCATTACAACATTTTTGTAGGTGCACACCTGCAGAATGATTTATTTCTTACCTGTTGGTCTGGCCATGTCTGTTTTTGTTCGAAAATCCTCTGAGACGTTCTCTCAGGCCTCTTCTCCTGTAAATGTTGCTTCTTGTAGCAGCTTCTTGTTTATACAGCCATGAATCAGCTGATACTCAGGAAACCAAAACCTAACCTTCACTTAGGTTTCACTTTTCTTCTCTGTGGTTTATTGTTTTTTTTTTCCGGCAGCATCTTTTTGTTGGTTTTATGGTTGCTGGAGACTTTTTTGTCGAAACCCAACTTTTTTGGAATTCCCAGAAAATGTTTACTGGTACCAATGCAGAGGGTCTGAGCCGTTGAGGTGGTTCTGTTGGTAGCAGTCCACACATTTTTAAATAAATACTGTTGTAAAATCCATTATTTATTTAGAATGTATAATAGTCATTGGACTTTAAAAGATTATAAGGGTCCAAGAATGACACAAATATTCATTACATTAATTAAATATGAACCTAAAGCACATCCAGGCTTTATCCACTAGGGGGTGGTGTGAGTCAGCAGCTGCACCATGATTCACCTGGTGAGTTCTCAAACTGGACCAGCTATTGTTTCGGACAACTAATGCTTAAACAATACACCTGAGAGCTGGAAACTTGAACACACATGCAAAAAGAAGCATTTGCATGGATTGTAGAAAATATATGTTCACTCCATTTTTGAGGTGAATTATACCCGAGCTGAAATGCAGATATTTATCTTAAATGTTAAAGCCACCGGCAGTGGCTCATTAGGGTGACCATGGTAACCTCTGATGTCTTGAGGTAATTGTCACAACAAATGGCTCATTTAGGTCACCATGGTAACCACACCTGTTTCCATTAGTCCCTGAGATCAAATGAAATTTGAGAGATTTAAAGAGTAAGTCACCCCCTACAAGAAACTTATTTCACTCCCTCGTCATGTTTGAAAAATGCAACAAATGCTGTTGCCTTGCAGACCGAGAGGGCGGAGCCGCAAACCAATACACACACACACAGGCTCACAACGACATTGTGACATCATAAGGACCAGTTTACATCATAGCATACCTCTTAGCCAATAGCGGTGGCAGATTTAAATTCAAATGCAGTGCAAAGTTTTTTACCTGACGACGGCACAACACTGACAGTTTTAGGCAGAATATTTAAATTTTAACTAAGATGCACTGAAGTGCCAAATTATTGACGACATGTGTCTGCAGCACGATTAGACACGCATTTATGTAGTTTATCAGCAAAAAAAAAAAGTTGATTTGGGGGTGACTTGCTCTTTAAGTAACAAATTGTTGTTGGGTAAAAACTTAAACTAGTATTACAACTGTGACATCAGTGTGGACAAACATGGTGGAGGAATGTGTAGCGTGTTCCCGTCACCTCGCTTTCTGATTGGCTACAGCTAGCACACTTTAGTCCTCAAAATCAGCCCAAGATAATCCAACACGTTTGATAGTCCCAATTTAGAATTTGAACAGTCTCAATGTCCTTCTGAGTAGACCAGAGTACTCTTAGAACACCACACGACAGGAATATCTGACAAAATGATTTAAGAGCCATTACGTAATCAGCATGTCCTTAAGATTGTCCGAAGGGGAAAACTGGGTCAAAAATCCCAAGAGGTTCAGCAACGTAAACTTCCAACAAGTGTTTCTCAACTGTTTCACTAAAATTTCAATGTTGTCTATGGGTAACGTTCTCGATTTATGTCTTCTTTTGCAGATTTTGCTTCTACCAAAAAAACTTGTGACGGGATCATAATTAGGACAGCGGTACGGACCGTAAACAAAGCATTTGTGAGTCACCTTACTGAAAACATTTAGAGTATTGTTTGGTTTTGAGACAACAAACATGCAAATGACTCCATGGATCTTGTGTGGGACCTTTGTCCATGTTATTATCGGTCTGACTTTGAACTCAAGATGGTTATCATTGCCTGCACGTTGAGACCTTTATCAGCATCCACATGCTGATCAACCGTTTCTACTGTTGGCCCAAACACTCTGTGTCGGCTTGAAAACAATCAATTAAGGTCTTGAGTTTAGATGGAAATCGGAGGCACTTTTCAAGCCGCAACATGTTCGAGGAATTCCTCAGTTACTTGGAGACGGGGGAAAAAGACCGTTTTTTCAACCTCAGCCATTTTTATTGTCTGTTTTCTGCACAATATGTAGCAGCGTGATGTTATCAAGCTGTCCTTGTGCCATTTGTGTTACCTAATAATCATTATGATCACCTCAACACTGCAGTAATAATAGCACCAAAGTGGCAACACCTGTCCAAGGTATGCAGGAAAGGCGCCGTGTCATCTCTCTCACACACACGCACACATACCATGCACAGTTCCTTACAGTAGATGAAGTTAAAAAACACACTCGGTGAGAACCTTCTTTCCACCTGCATGGGCTGTGGTTTGTAACACCTCACCCAGGGCTATAAAACTCATTTGTCAGCATGTCTTAAAGCAGAAACACAAGTCTTAGCAGCAGTTATGCAAGAATCTAGTCTCAGTTGTACTTCATTGGAGGAAAATGCTTTCATTTCTTATAATTGTCCTGTCTTAAGTACAGAACATGATGTCAGCTGGGGAAACTGATATACATTTGCTGTTATGGCAGCAAAGTGTTAAGTCACTGATGAGACTCGGTGTACGCTGCCACCTCTTATATCACCCCCTTTGGTTTAATGTGCAGTGCTGCAGACAATGTGTGTGTGTGTGTGTGTGTGTGTGTGTGTGTGTGTGTGTGTGTGCTCGTTCCCTCCAAACACCGCGGTGCAAAGATGACCTCAAAGCCCCAGGCTCTCTAGAGAGTCACCTTATACTCAGGTGTGACATTACAGCGTGAGAAAAGCATTCTGGGAAAGCTCACAGGACCATGGAGATGCAGGAACACAGGAGACAGGACACTGACTTTTTTTGTCAATACCAAAATCTGCCCTTTAACAAAAGCTGCATCACTCACACACATTAGGTGTTTATCTTAAAAAGCCTTAAAGAAATAAAGAATAGCCACGGTGTTGCCTGACAGCAGACCCACCCCGCTTTTTGTGTCAGTTCTCTCTTTTCTCTCGTTTTGCTTATAAAACACGATCCACAGCAACAAAAAAGTGTAAAACACAACAAATACACACCTTCCTGACTAGGTCTGATTCCCATTTTTAAGCCTACAGTGAGGCATTTGCAACTAATACTATGGTAATAAAAGCTACCTTTATGTTTTTTATACTAAAACTATTACAATGTGTTGGGAAAGCTTTGATTTATGCAGAAAGCACAGCTGTATGAGGGCCAAAAGGCATTTGGATCTGCTTAGACTGAAACATTTCTATCATTTCAATCTTCTTCTTACAGTTTCAAAGGAAAAATAAGTAAATTAAGACCTATAATATATTCAGTGTATCTGTAAGTACTTGTCCTCAACTGCTGGAGGTAAGTTTTTGCACTGTTGTGTTGGCAAGTCCTTTGCTTAATGGTGTCATGCAGGACTTGATGTCTAAATAACAGTTTTATTAAGTTTACTTTGCTGTTGTGCTTCTAAATTCAGTTTAAACTAATTATTTGATGCTAGAACATAAGGAAAAATTGAGTGGCAATCTTTTATAAATGCATTCACTTCTTTCTCCTTATCTATGATCGCAGACGAGAGTTCATGGCTGTCGAGCTTCTCCTGGGGGATCGAAAGGTGTTCCAGCCCAGGCAGCATATTTAACATTCCCCCCAGTGACTTCCATGTCTGCTCAAGGTGGAATGTAACCGGAAAACCTCAAAAGGAAAGTTTCTTGGGTTTTTTGGATGCTCAAAACCACCTCGCTGACGCCTGTCGATGAGGAGGAGCAGCAGCTCTACTCCGAGAAGACTGAATTTCATTTTTGAATTGTAAAGAGAAATTCCACCCTTAAGTAAAATTCGGTCTGTTGCCATATTCCCCAGAGTTATGCCCATCCTTCACATTTTACCAACACATGTCGGGGATGTAACACGGGATCACATCAGCTGCGAAGTGCCGCGAAGTGGATCGCTCACGAAATTCACTCGCTGCCCGCTGCTCCTCTGCTCCCATCAGGCAAGAATTTTCAACAAGTGCTTTTGCTCACGCCTACAGGTTTCCAACCCCTCCCACCCCACCCCCTGTGCCCTTGCTGTGTGTGTGTGTGTGTGTGTGTGTGTGTGTGTGTGTGTGTGTGTGACCAGTTTGCCCTACTTGTTGACATCAGAAACTGAGCTGATCCTGCAGCAGTCTTGTAGACCAGTTCCTTTCTTAATGGGTAACTAAGTAACCTATTGTATTGTATGGTTACCTTTGAATTAAATTTATTTGTTTTTGTTCACATTTAATAAATGCAAAATTTGCTGTAAAAACTGCATTTAAAATTATGGAAACGCTGTGTGTGTGTTTGTGTCTTTGTTTATTTTCATCTCTCTAGTCTGTTTAGATACACAAAAATGGTCACATTTATCAATCGCTGTGTTTCATTTAGAAAATTTTCTTAATTTTGTTAAATTTACCGACTTGCCTCGTGTTTGGGTTTGACTTCCTGCCAGAATGGACGCGGCTCACTCACGGCTCACGAAAAAATGAGAGCACACGCCGGAACGATTGCTGCACGGTGCGGCTGATGTGACAGAGACTTTAGGGTAACAAGGGCGCCGAATAGAAGCGCTCGTTGTTCCAAGGCGCTTTCGCGTCTGATGTGATCCGGGCGTAAGATGGGTGGGAAAAAAGCATTTCGTAAACAACCCAGACGTTCTCCCAATTAAGCATTATTCTGTCAGCTTTAGCTTAGCATAAACAATGTAAGTGAATGGTAACAACTAGCACTGCTGTAAGCTGCCGCTGCAAGGCACAAGGATATGGACCAGTGGCGTGACATCTGTCACTTTTGATTTTACTAAATAACATTTACAACATTTGACACTAATGACAGTAAATGGCGAGTTTTGGGGCAGCTGTGTCGTGTCCGTGTGCTTTGCAATGACGGCTTACTACGTTGCTTTGTCATTATGCGGTCCCAAGTCGAAATCGTCTCTTGTAATTCCTCCATGATACTTATTTTACTGATGTGATTATTTGAGGTCATCAAGGAACATTACGATCATTATTGGGTCATTTTCTTGACTGATTCACATAAAATGCTAGCTGTTACCATTCACTTACATTGTTTATGCTAAGCTAAAGCAAACAGAACACTGCCTGACTAGGAGAACGACTGGGCTGGTTACAAAATGCTTTTTCCCTCTCGTCTAAACCTGAGGAATACGGCAACAGACTAAATTTCACTTAGGGGGTGAAATAACCCTTTAAGTAGTTGACAAAAATAAATGAAAGAGTTTGTTGATACACTGGGGATTATAATAGCGACATACTCAGTCATGCAAAAATCATGCATTATTTTACTTGATAGAAAATATATGCATATTTAAACCTCCTGAGACCCTGCAGACTCGTACAAGGATGTAGGTTTCTTACCCTACAATATTTTAGTCTTTGCATCTGTTTTTATTCTTATTTTTTTTAACTAGGGATGTAAGAAACAAACTGATACATTGAAATATTACTCTAACTGTAATGCCTCCCTCTCCGGTCTCCCTCTAAAATCACTCAACAAGCTACTGTTGGTCCAAAATTCAGCTGCCCGGATAATCACCAAGACCTCCACTTTTGATCACATCACCCCTGTCCTGTAACAACTTCACTGGCTCCCTGTCAAATACAGAATTGACTATAAGATACTTCTTCATGCCTTTAAAGCCATCCATAATCTCGCTCCCCCTTATCTTTCTAATCTCCTCCACATTGTCACTCCCACTCGCTCGCTCCGATCATCATCTTCACCTTCCCTGTCTGTTCCTCGCACTCGTCTCTGTACTGTGGGAGCCAGAGCTTTCAGCCACTCAGCTCCAATATTCTGGAACACTCTACCGCCTGACCTCCGCAATATAAACCCCTTCTCATCCTTCAAGTCTCAACTCAAAACTCACATGTTCCGCCTGGCTTACTCACTGTAACTGTCCTCCTTCCATCTACTCTTTTAGTCTATTATCCATTGTGCTGCTCTGACTCTACCCTTGGGAATTACTCTTCGCACTTATTTCTTGTTGTTTGTATTGCTTGCTGTTCCTTATATTTTGTCTTGTACAGTGACCTTGAGAGCTTTGAAAGGCGCTTGAAATAAAATGTATTATTATTATTATTATTTATTATTATTTCATGCTGTGACACTGAGTTGATATTTAAAAGCAGTGTATAAATTTTCTTTTGAGAATTTACTTGCCAACATTTGCTGTATTTCTTTTCTGTGGTGCAATTCAAATTCCGACTGGCAGGGGGCAGCAGTGTTTACTGACTTCATTCTGATGGAACGATGAAATCCAACAATAACACCTGGATGTGTCTTGGAAGCGTCTGGCCTGAGTTTGCTGCCGACAACAAGTGTTCAATAACGAAGCCAAAACATCCCCTTTACAGATGCTGCCATGCTGTATGTTTTAGTATTTGCATAGAAGGAGGTGGAGCTTAAAATATACAATGCAGCCAGCCACTAGGGGGAGATTCGTTCAGCTTCTGTATAGAGTTATTAGTTGACAGCATGTATTAAAACTAAATTTTAATAACTGGAAAGTATAAAAGCTCCTCCTCGTAACTTTAGATAAGAAACGTTTGCAGAAATCACAAACAGGACGTTTTACTATTAAAGTAAATGTAGAAAGTACACAAAATTCTTGTTATTTTTTAAAATAAATTAAAACCGCAAATTTCTGTGCAGTGAACTTAACAGTGCCCTTAAAGCTTGCTTAGAGCCCAGATGAATCACTGGCAGGTACAGGACACGTCAGGATTTTGTTACAGCCTGAATTAGCATACCTGTTGAAAGGTGACTCAGAGAGGGAGGAGCCTGAGGACGAGACTGCGATGGAGGAAGAGTTAAGAAGAGAGAAGAGGGGAACGAGGTAGAAACAAGCTAGGTGTGGTAAGATGCCTTAAGCACATTCCTCGTGCAGCCGCACCCTACATTTCAGCGTCTTTTTACCTGCTGGTTTGTTATCACAACTCATTCATGTATGAAGACACATTTTTCACCAACATCCTCCCAGCTGTAAGCTCTTATTCCTCTCATTTTTCCACATTTGACTGTGCAAACATGATTTTGGCCATTTTGTGTGTAACAGATTAGATGTTTGAGCAGGAGGCACACCCTCAGGGCTATCAAATACCTATCAAACAAGGTGTGTCCTGTGTGGTGAACATGTTTCAGGTCAAAGGACAGCCCATATAAATGGAATTGTATCTCTATTGCAGTATGTTCTGATGTCATTGCTGCTATTTGAGTGAGAGCGAGCGTTCGGCAGCTTGAAAGTGGAAAAGTTTTGTGTAAAAAGGGAGCGTGAAAAGAAAGAAAAAATCTGACGAATCAGCGTTTAATGGTGGAAGTTTGTGTATTTGAGCAGCTACACGCTTCTGATCGGCCTCCTTCTGGTCAGATGTGACAAAGAAAAGCAAGAATTTACGGCCTCCAGCGGTGAGATGATTTAAGGGAGACTTGTTTAGACATCAGAGGAACTGAGTTTAAAGTCAAGTGATGCAACAAAGCAAGTCACTTAAAGAAAAAAGATTTAAACAAAAAGGTTTTTTCTAAAAGGTTACCAATCAAAATAAACATGAAGAAATGATACGGTTCATTCAAATTTATTTTACTAATCTCATTTGACTAAATAGATTAACTGTAAATGAGACAAAAACTGATAGACTCTTATAATATGATGATAAGGAAATAAAAGTCGAGAACAGGGAGCTTAAATCATGTCCATCTGCTTTCGGACCATGGGTCCATGGATGTAATTTTGGGGGGGGGGGGGGGAGGACATGTCCCCCCCCCACACACACACACACACTTTTTCCAAAGTCAAGTTTTGACCCCTGCACTTTTTACCATCCAAAAACAATATTACGCTATATTAAATTGACACTAGTTGAGCTCTAGGACCAAGCGGAAAACAACCGTTTGTGTTGAAGACTGTTTCCCATTAGAGTATACTGTAAAGACACCCCCCCCCCGTGTCCCCCCCCCCCCCCCCCCCCACACTTCTAAAGTGAAAATTACGTCCATGCATGGGTCCCCAGAAAAAAGAGAAAAATGAACGTAAGTGAATGGGGCTATAAAAGCTATTTTCTAATCCATTTTGATGTGAATCATGGATTTCACATTTGAATTTTAAAGACATTTTATTGGCAAGAAAGTGTTTATTTTCTAATGGCGGCAAAAGTTATTTTAGGTTTTGTGTGAAAAGACTACAAATGCCACTCGTCACCGTATTGACGTCATCAAACCAGACATGGAAAATGCCTGTGAACTTAACGAACTTCAAATCCTTCTTTCAGGACAACAGAAGGAGCAATAAATGTGGGGAAACCAATATAAAAATGGCCACGTGGTAAGTAGCAGCTACGCTGGGGGGGGGGGTTCCTGTGGTGATGTCATTTCTGCAATGATAGGGGCGACGGTGGCACAGGAGTTAAGTGCTTGCCCTGTAACCAGAAGGTTGCAGGTTCGAGCCCCGCTCAGTCTGTCGCTGTCATTGTGTCCTTGGGCATGACACTTAACCCACGTTGCCTGCTGGTGGTGGTCGGAGGGACCGGTGGCGCCAGCGCTCGGCAGCCTCGCCTCTGTCAGTGCGCCCCAGGGCAGCTGTGGCTACATTGTAGCTCATCCCCACCAGTGTGTGAATGTGTGGGTGAATGACTGATTGTGTTGTAGTGCCTTGGGGGGGGTTCCAGGACTCTAGAAGGAGCTATATAAAATACAGGCCATTTACCATTTTACCACTTACCATAGTTATTCTAATAACACATTTTTACAAGTGTGAGACAAAAATAGTTGAAACTCATATGTTTATTTTTCATTTAAACTGAAGGACATCTGTGTGATTCAGGGCGTAAGGCAAATCGGATTAGAAAATAGCTCTTAGCCTCGTTCACTTGCATTGAATTTTTTGTTGTTCCAGGGACCCATGAGCCGACCGGAAGGGGAGGAGCCTTAGATCTAGTTTATGCTTCTGTGTCAGCTCCACGAGGGAAAGACGCACACGCATTGATGGAGACGCTTTGCCTTCTGATTTCTCCGTCACCCGGGGAGTGTTGCGTTTATATTTTTAGAGTTTTTCCACAAGGTATTCTTCAAGCTGCTCCGTGTCTGCCCGCTAGATGTCTTCGGCTCTCTTTATTGCTTTGAGGGCCCAATGGCGGGGCTGTTGATGAATCTGTTGACGTCCTGGCCAATCACAAGCTTGTGCACTCCATCTTGTTCGACGGATGTTTAGAAAAGTGGGCTCGACACCGTCCATCCTTGTGAGCTGGTTGGAGAGCCCTCGAAACGTTGGATAATGGCGTTGCGTGTCACCGTATCAACGCAGAGGCATAAACTAGGCTTAAGGCTCCCTACACCCGGCCGGGAGGGACTCGGAGTAGAGCCGCTGCCCCTCCAGCAGCAGCTCTCTCTTGCACATGGGAGGCAGTTATTTTCTGATTTATCTGTAAGTGACATCACAAATGGGACTTTTTGAAATGGCTTGTTGTAAGCAAGTAATCTCTAAAACCAAACATGAATGGATGGATGGATTTTTTCACGTTTAGTGTTTTTATAGAGGAAGTAGAGACCCACATGGCAGCACAAAATGATGCAAAAGGTGAATTTTGCATTATATGTCCCCTTTAAATCTAATCCCCTTGTGTTTTGTTTTATTAGCAAATGCAATAAACAAATAAGCAAAAATAAACAAGCATGTGACTTCCTTGATGGAGGTCAACTGGTTTTCTTCACAAACATTTAGTGGAAGTGATGCAACCCTGCTGTTAGCATAACCTGTCCTTGCTTCTTTTTTTACAAGCATTTTGTAGGAATCAATTTTTAAACGAGTTAAAGGAACAATAAGGTTTCGTCTACATCAAATTCCTAAGTTTTTGTCCTCATGTCAAACTCAACAGGGTGAAGCTGTGGTTACCTAAGCAGCTGCCTTATAAAATATCTCAAGTTATCTTAAGGTCTTTTTTGTGGACATTAACTGCGTTTTGATGTTCTTTAACCACCAACAAAGGATTCTGTTGACTTATTTGTTATTCAAGTCATTTAACACTTACAATTTCAAAATAAAATGCGTCTGAGGAACGAAACCGCTTTTATCACGGTCATCCCGTGTTAACGTGTGATTTGTTGACATTTTAGGGTGAAAACTGCAAGATGCCCTTCTAATGTAAAGAGGAATCTTATGGTGTTCTGAATCTAATCGTGAAAATGTCAAACTTGTTTTCTGTGAGGTACTGAGAAGGTCAAGAGGAAGGTACAACACTGAGTCATGCACCTATCTGTAAACAAGGGCTCTGGCAAGATTTCTCCCCACACTGTTGGATGTTTAGTCGTCTTTCATGGAAACTTGAATTCAGACACGAACAATCAGATCTCAATTCTCTGGAAAGCGTCTGATCTGCCACAGCTTCATTTTTCAACAGGACACTGACTACCAACACCCTGGCACTGGTGCAGTAAAAGCCCTAATGAATAGAAGAAAACACACAAAGGAACAGTGTCATGGCCTGGCCTCCCCAGAACCCAAAACTCCACTTAGATGACTGAAGTCTAGACAGAAAAGTAGTCAAAAGACGATAAACGTCCAGACAAGAGCTTGTTCGGTCAAAAACACAAGAATCGTTGCTGGAGGACACCAAAAGGTAAAAGTGTGACCATTATTGGATTTGTACGACTCTCTTTTGACTTTAAATATTATTTTATTTTACTAGGAAATAAACACCATTGGAATGTAATTGTGTTATTTGTATGTTTCTGTTATTTATGCACACATTTAAATTGCTGCAAACGTATCTACTTTTGCAGAAACATACTTAAAAATAAAGGTAATGCTTTTGCACATCTGTGGGGGTAAACACTTTTATATTTAACCATTTACTGGATGCAGAGCAGCTGGTTTGAAGGGCTCAGCAGTCAGACAGCAGAAACTAACTCCAGGATCATTTCCCAGTGGTTTTTGAAATGCAGCAGAAGGAAAAAACTTCCACTGGTGTTCGTCCCAGCCGCTCTGGGAGGAGTCTCGCCTTTGGGAAAGCCCTTCCTGTCAGGAGGACGTGGCTCCTTCCTCATTCACGGAGCCCAAACTGCTGCGAGCTTCCAGCGACGGGTCCAGAGGATCTCACACCGCCGAGCGCAGCTCTCAGCCCGGGTACGGAGTTCGCGTCGGCCCGCTGCGGAGGGAGGGAGGCGGAGGGGGTGTTTGCCACGATAGGGGGGCTGACTTTGTCCGATCCGAGGAATGTGACGCACGGACTGGAAGGAGACCTGTAGGTCGGTGGTTTCACCGCGGAGAACCGTGAAAGACAAACGAGGGAAGAACTGAAGTAGTGCTGCAAAGGTAATGGAAAATAAACCAACAGTGCGTCATGACGCGTTTCTCTGTGTTCCTAACCGCTTCATTCTCATACCTGTCCTTTTATCCCTATCTAATATAACCTAATATCTCTTCAACTCACTTAGAATAAAATAAAAATCAGGGCCCTTTATCCTCATTTTCCTGCAGGATCAACTCATCCGTTGCAAAACCTGAACAGTGCTGTTATTACATCAACACACTGGCTGTTATCAGAACTATAAAGCCTCATTTCCAGTTATGAAGGAGGAAAACGGCGACTGATTCTGAGAAAAATCGTATTAGAGAAAAGGGTAGAGACACTTTTGAAAGCATGTCTCCCGTCATGTTTGAACAATGCTCACCGTGAAGGGCTTTACTTCCAGCTTTTGATGGTACAGCCTCGTCTGTCGAGCAAGGAAGACTGGTTTACAGGCTTGGATGACACCTTAATTGCACACTTCTGTTTCACAGCCCTTATTCTTGATGCATTGACAGTGAGTCACCAGGTTAAGAATAGTCCCCATATGTGGTTTTAATTTGTGGAAAATAAGATTAGAAGTGCCAGCGTTTTGTGGAACCTGTGTGCACGCTAACCATACGGCGGTTCTCATTCGTTGGTTTGCAGAAGTCTTCAAAAGTTCGAGCATTAATGCGTTTCGGGAAAAGCAAAGCTGGGATATTTTTCCGCCCTAACTGCTTCTGAGTTTCCAATCGAAGCTGACCGCGGGCCCTGAAAGCAGTTGGAACAGATGACTGGAGCTCAGTGGACCTGTTTTTCTAGCCCCAGAAAGAGGGAGCATGTGAGCCGTCACATCCAGAACATCATCATCTGTGTCATTCAGCAGCGAGGCTCACAGTATGGACTTATCTCAGTTTGTGTACATTAACCTGACAAACACTGACGGTAAAAACGTCCTGACAGGACCGTCACGACTTTACAGGCTTATCCCTCCAAACCTGTTCTTGCTCCTTTCACACAGAATTATCATGCAGAGAGAGGAGAAGGAATGCCAGATCAACCGTAGTGTTTGTTTAGCGAGGTGTGTTACAGCAGGAAGAGAATGTTCGTTCTCGATGGTTTTGCATCTCCTCGGGCTGGCCGTCCCCCTTGCTCACTAACTTGTCGAGACTGATACCATTTCAGAAGTTTCTTTCCGTCATTTTGTGCCAGTGTTCAGGAAGGAATGCTGAAAATGAGCCAGTGACACATTCAGAACAGCTTCCATGCTTCAGTGTCATCGGCCTCGTGAAGCTGCGGCGGAGCTGGTTTAGTGTTTCACTCAGGTGTAGGTTAGCTCCTCCTGGTGAGAGTACGCTTTACAGCAACACGGTGCTCCTGGTCATCACTTTCTGTAGTTTGATGTTCATCCTGGTTGCTATAACAACAAACAAAGCCTCAGTGTTTGTTTTGGTATGCTACCGGTCACGTTGGAGAAGAAAGCACCATACATCGACTCAAAACCGGTGTTGATCATCAACGGATGAGAAAGTTAGTATTAGTTAAGAAACAAATAACTTTTTGTCATCTCACAGTTTACGTAATCATCCAGCACGTCTCTCAGTTTGTGGTTTTCAGCAGTTCATCTTTGAACCACGTGGAATATTTTTCTAATACAAAAGAACCCACTGTGGGAACCGAGCAGGAATGGTGAGCGTGTAAAAACAACAAAGGCCTAATGTCTGTGGCTCAAAACCAGAGCAAAAGCAGGACGTCGTTCATTTTTCATACGGATGAATCACCGCACTGCAAGTATATTCCCCTCTGGCGACGCCGGACGGGGCTACTCGATGACTCACATGCTTGAGGAGTGAAGCCAGTTGTCCCACTGATTACAGATGAGGACTTTTGCCCCTTTGCTATTTCTACCAATAAGTTGTTTACACAGATCACATCATACCTGTACAGCGGGTTCAGCCTTTACACCCGCCCCTACCCCAAACCCACACACACACTGAGCAATTAGTCAGCCCCAATCAGTTCCAGTGACTCAATGTTCACATGGACCTTTATTCACACTGTCATGCTTCCTGTTGCGACCCAGTCCAAACAAATGAGATCTCAGGTAAATTTCCTGAGATTTTGTTTAGATTCGAAACGTTGATAAGTTCATCCTGGTTGGAATCAAGCCCGAAATCTATCCACATCAAAGTTGTCCGTTTTATTTCGAAGAGTGTTTCCCTGTAATAATAGTAAAGTTGTAAATATCTACTGTTTGACTCAAAATTCCCACATAATTATGTCGGAGTTCAAAGAAAGTTCTAAAGCGTTGTAGCTTTCGGCAGACTCGCTGAAACGAACTCAAGAGGCAGACAGACTTTTCTCCGCCACGTCTAAGCACGAGTTACTGGCATGACGGGTTCACTGAAAGGACTTGTCTATACACCTCCTCGAGCCTTTCCCACCTCTCCCTCGTCTCTCCCATGCAACTTCTAGCTTCGTGTTAATCGTTAGCATTATTAAGACAACTAATAGCCCAATAAGAACACTTGTAGACAGCTTTTATCCCTTTCATCTTAAAAAATTAGGTTTAGAAAACCAGAAGACACATCAGAAGTAAGATTCTGATGTCAGAAATAGACCCAATAATTATTTAATTATGAGGGAGATGCAAAAACTCAAAGATTTCGTATTCATACAGAATATCTGTAGTTATTAGACAAAACGTTGGTTTGTTTATTGCATAATGGACTCCTGAGTTCATGTGCTGAATTTAAATGTGATTACTGAGATCTGATCTCACTTCCTGTTTGGTCTAAACACAACCTTTAGGACAGATCCAACTATTAAAAATGAAACCTTCACATGAAAGTGAATATTTCTTTGCTCATCTGAAGCTGTGGCGTAAAACGCATTAGTCTGTCCACTCGGATCATCTGAGCACAGATTAACTCAATGCTCTGGCTTTGACTCACCAACAACGGCTGCTTTGTTCAGGTGGTTATAGGTAACTTGTGCGTGGAACACAAAGGCTTCTTTCTTTCGCCACCCAAAGGGATATTTAATTGATTTATTGTTTGGCATTATTGGGGGAGTGGTGTGTTTTTACAGTACATCTAACTGACGAAAGGAAGGAGGTTTAAACAAAGGAAAACTGCTGCTTTTTTTTTTATCTTGATTCGTTTCTACTTGCTCTTTAGGGGCCCAAACTGAAATATGTGAGTCACTAACCCTAAATAAATAAGTAAACAAAGATTTTTTTTTTGTTTCTGCAAAGGCGAAACTTCCCTGAGACCCTCATTCTTGACTTTTGATCAGACCCACCTTAACGATGGCCCGTCGATCCCAGAGTTCATCGATCGGAGATAATCCTCTGGACCCAAACTACCTGCCTCCACTCTACCGTGAGGGGTATCGTTTGGCTATTGATGAGCTAATAGAGAAGGACATTGAGGTAATAATTTTTGTCGTGATTTTCAGTGTAATGTAAAATTTTTAAATTTGCTAAGTTTCTGTGTTTTCTGTTGCAACAGGGCTACAACGAGTTCATCCAGAAGGAGGGTATTGTAAATTTTCTTGCCCAACCGGAAATTGAGCACATCAAGTCCACGCTTCAGATACCCAACCAGACCTCGAACCTACCAGAGTTGACGTATTATGAGGGAGGTCAAGAGACCGATGGGTCCTCTGGCACCTACTGGCCAATGGAGTCGGACACGGCGGCACCGGGACTAGATCTGGGATGGCCACAGTTCACCTATGCTGGACCCACAGAGGTCACCACACTGGTCAACCCCTCCGAACCTGACGTGCCAAGCATTAAGGAGCGTGCACGGAGGCTCATCAAGAATGCACGACAAGTATGTATAAAGGAGGCAGAAATGTTCAGGTCAGGCTTATACTTGTGGTTATCTTCCTGTCTAATCTGCATAAACCCAGTCTCTGAAAAACTGGTTGGACTGAGGAGCTGCTAATGAAGTTGTGTTTACTTTAACTTGAGTCGGGCTTTATTGCTGTTAGTTCACTCTCAAATTGTGTCTGCCTCTGTCAACTTTGCAACCACGCCCTTTTTAGTTGAATTTTCAACTGGCTGTCTCCTTCACATAATTAAGCATTTTGAATAGCAGGAAGCATACAAAACAAACGTGACGAGCAGTCAAACCCGTTGGTCCGATGGATCATGACTTTATTTGTTCTACGTTTCTCTTTGAGGGTTTACAGAACTCGTCTGTGCCTTACAGGTGTTAGCTTTTAGTGTATCTCCTGTGTTCAGACAGAGTCCAACGACTCAGCGTGCAGTTTCAAACTGAATCTTTAATTTTTGAATACTACTTTTGTAACGTAAATGTAGTAGATTACCCCACGTTTTATCAGTCAGTGTGTTTACATGCAGCTAGTAACCCTTTTAAAACCCGAATATTCACAATAACCCGGTTCCGCGGTTCCGCAGGTCCTTGTAAACACCGCCAAAAACCCGGATATGCTCATAACCGGGTTTTTAAAAACCCGGTTACTACACCTGGGGTAACCCTTTTCTAACCCGAATGTTTGGTCGTGTAAACGCATATCGGGATATCCCCATCAAAGCGTGTGTTCTGCGCATGCTCTGTTCGCAAGGAATCTTGGTCTTTTGAGTAGCGAGACGTCTTGTATGCGCCAGAACACCGGAAGTAAACAACAAGTTGGGAGCAAAATGGCGAGTCGCGGCACAGCACCACACTTTTGGAGTGACGAAGAAACTAAAGCGCAAAGAAACGCGGTCGCTATCTCTTCCGAACTGGGAAACATGTTGTTGTTTTCACGGATACCGAAACAAGAAGAACCGGAAATGACGCATATTGCGTCTGGACGTAGTCCATACGTCCTGACGCTACCCCAACGTCCGCATTTAAATCGGGTTATGCAAGTTAGAGGTAACTCTTTCTATTTATGCTTGTAAACGGGTTATTCTGATCAACTCAGAGACCCGAATACCGACCTTAACCCGATCATAACCCGGATATTGGCTGCATGTAAACGTAGTCCGTGATACACTGAGGGTAGTCAAATGCGCATTTTGTCTCAGTTATTCAGTTGAGCAATGCTGTTGTACCACATTATGTTGAACATAACAGAGTTTCTTGTGTTTGTGCTTTATATCCAGGTTATTGCGATTGCGATGGACATATTTACAGACGTTGACATTTTTTCAGAACTTTTGGAGGCAGCAGCACGCCAAGTTGCAGTCTACATTTTACTGGATGAGCAGGACGCTCATCACTTTGTCTCTATGGTCAGCAGCTGCAAAGTCAACTTGGACTTGATTCAAGTGAGTTTAGGTTTTATGAAACATTCCCTCCATTTTCCACATTGACTTTAAGAGCTTTTAAATCAACTAACAACAGTAAAATGTTTTTTTTAGATGATGCGCGTCAGAACCGTTGGGGGGATAACGTATTACTCTCGGACAGGAAAATCCTTTAAAGGACAGATGAAAAATCGCTTTATGTTGACTGACTGTAGGGCTGCGCTCAGCGGGAACTACAGGTATGCTTATGTCACAATTAAGATATTTTAAAAATTATTTCTGTTGCTTCACTTTTACTTTTAAATTTTCCTCTAGTTTCATGTGGTCCTACGAAAAGATCCATCGCTGCATGGTGCATCTCTTCCTGGGGGAGATGGTTAACTCCTTCGATGAGGAGTTTCGTATTCTCTATGCCCAGTCAGAGCCTCTGGTCATCAACCAGTTCAGCGTACCACTTGCTATCTCAGACCACACCGCTGGCAGTTATTTACACACCCAGATTGGTTTGAAGAGGACACAGTCTCTACTTAATTCCATTGGTTACAGGCAGCCGGAGATTACCCCAGCCTTCCCCTACGGGGACGCAGACCGCAACCCTTTTAGAAGGAACGATCCGTTTCGTCACACGCTTGAACCCAACGCAGGAATTACCATTGGAAAATACTCTCAGCAACAGTTTCGTCTGCAGCAGTCTTACTTAGATCAGGGGAAGTCCATAGTGTCCAGGCAGATGGAGATGAAATCAAGTGCCTTTAAGAGGCACAGCTATGCAGAAGGAACGCAGGAAACCTACTCCTCTTCCAGACAATTCATGAAGCACAGAGTCATGAACAATCTGGATGAGACAGATTTTCACAGGTATGTATTGTTTCATCCTAGCCACCCTATGTACCATTCTGTTACTACATATCTATACATGTTCTGATGTAAAAATGACACAACTAAGAAATGCTTTTTTTATTTTTTACAGAGAGCAGTTTCAAAGCAGCCATTACTACAGCGAAGGGCCTGGACCAGGTTCTGGCCATGGACACTATGATAGGCTTCGAGGCTATCCTTCACACCTCTCCCTCGACCAGTATTCAGACTCAAGCTATCGCTCCTCAGATCTGGAACCTCCACTTGGAAACAAAGACTACTTTTCATCTGATGACCTAAAAGGACCAGAAGGGCTTCATGGTCCTCCACTAGCTGGGAGGTATGAAGGAGGAACCTCCAACAGGAGGCCAACCATTGGTCACACTTATGCTTGCCAGAGTTCCCCGACACAGCTGCACCCACCAGAAAAAAAGTCATTATACAAGCATTCTGGTCAAACCCACGATCAAGATCCAAGTGTAAAGGAAGGCATGAGGAACTGGAGGATCAACTCGTATCTTAGTAATTATGACGGTGGTGGAGAAGAGGGTTTGCCTGAACCAATGGGACCTGACACGTTTGATGATCCTCCAGCTATTGAGCAACCAACTGCGCCTGAAATTTCAACATCACGCTTTGGAGTGAAGGAGCCACCAAATGTTTTCCCTATGCCCAGACCAGATTTACTGACACCCCGTTTTGGAAAGCCCAAACTGACTGAAAGCAGCAATAAAGACTATATTCCATCAGCAGCAAGGGATGTGCTTTCTTCTCGCACTGATTATAGGTCTTCTATTCTTGAGAAGGAAAAAGAGAGGGAGTCAGAGAGAGTTGCAGCGAGGGAGGCAGGAGAGGACACAACAATCAAAGATGCTCCAGATCTCTTTCTGTCCAGACATGAATCGGTCCGATCACGTATCAACCCGCTCCTTCAACGCAGCTCTCGCCTGCGCTCCTCACTTATATTTGCATCTTCCAAGACGGAGATACACAGTGGCAGCTTAGGTCTAAAACCAGCGACAGAGGAAGACGAGCAGTTAGATTCTGTACAAACTTCCTCCATAGTGGCCCAAATTCTTGCAAAGAGGAGGTCTCTGTCTCGTGAGCCATATGAATGGCGAAAAAAGTTTGAGGAAAGACAAAAGGACAAGGAAATGAAGGAGAAAGAGGAGGAAAAAGAGAAAGAGCCACAAGAAGAGAAAAGGAATGTAGAGGTGAAAACTGAAATTAAGGAAAAAGAGGAACCTCAGAACACAGACAAGGAAGAAAAATCACAGAGTATTACGAAACCTGAAGACCAGAAACCAGTGAACGTAACTAATGTAGCTTCTAGACTGCAATATTTTCAAGATTTGGAAAACAAGAGAAAAGTCTCAAAATTGAACACAGATATATCAGTTAAAGCCTCAGAGCCTCCAGAAAAGAAGCCAGATCTTTCAGAGAAACCTCCTCTCAACCCTTCAGCTACTCTAAGGTCCACAACTGGGACAATCAGTCCAGCAGACAACGAACCAAAGAAACCAGACATCTCTGCAAAACTGGCAGAACTCAATCGCAGACCAACTTCGCCAAAAGTCTCAATACTCACTCCCAAGCCTTTTGTGAGTTCTCAGAAGTCTTCAGAGACGTCGCAATCTCAAAAAGAGGAAACTGTGTCAGAAGGTCCAAAGAAGGAACTACCTAAGTTACTAAAGCCTCTGTCCTCACCGAAGATCTTCAAGAAAGATGCGTTAAAGTTAAAGGGACTGAATCCTCGTCGTGTCTCTTGTGGTGAGGAGATTCTAACCACAGATGCAACAGATGCAGAAAAAAGTGAGCTGAAAAAGAACCGCGCTCGTAGTTCTTCAACGCTGTCACATGAAGACTTTAAGGAAGGACTGCATAAGCGTATGGGATCCAGTACATCCATTAACACAATCGGTGAAGGGAAAGGTGATGGCAAGACCCTAGAGTTTCTAAAGAAACAGACTCAGAGGTTAAAGGGGTTCCTGGGGCCAAAGGATAAAGATAAGAAAGCCTCAGGAGAAGAGAGGAACATGACCACGGTCATGGAGGTAACTGATGATCCAAGCAAAAATCAGAGCTCACAAGCTAAAGAAACCAGCTCCACTACAGCCAATCAACCCGCAATCAATCATAAGACCTCATCGGGAACATCGGGCTCATCTCGGTACCAGTCCCCAGGAAGCTCGGTCTTGTTCAGCAGCAACCTACGAGATGACACCAAGGTCATTCTGGAGCAAATCTCCGCCAACAGCCAGAAAAACCGTCAGGAGCGAGAAGAAACAGGAGGGGACAAAGGCGATGTTGCAGACAAAGGACTGGAGACATCAAACCCTGGGAAAAAGAGTCGCTTTCTACGAACATCGGGCAACAGCCAAGAGAGGGAGGGCTTACTGAAGAGGATAGAGAGTCTGAGGAAGGAGAAGAAGGTCTACAGCCGCTTTGAGGTAGTTGATGTTAACAGCATTGATGGAAAATCTATTAAAGTAAAGTAGTTCTAATGTTGAATTATGATAAATTTGGGAGAGAAATTCAGCATTTGATTCCAAAATGTTAAAATATAGAGTTGATTAGAGGAAATCAGTTTGTCTTTTCATAAAATACTAATCAAGTGGATTAATTAGTTTAAAAAAATAACGAAAATGGAAATGTGAAAAAGCAAATATGCATGTGGAGAGTCTACAAACTGTTCATACTGTTGAAAGTAATGTTAAAAATACTGAATGAATTATGACGGTGGTGTCTAACTTCAGTACCATTTTAAAATGCTGCAAAGAATCAGAAGACGACAGAAATGGAGGAAGATGGTGGAAGTGGTTAATTTCACTCGTATCCCTGTTTCTCTGTTAACAGATGGGGAATAGCCTGGGATAACAAACGATGGAGGAGCGACCTTTTATCTGGAAACTGTTCATGCAAGATGATCAAAAGCGTCTATTGCTAACTTGTGCCAACAACACTGAAATACTCCCTAAAAGTACCTCTGCCCGACTCTGTGGACTTTTCTGGATTTTTACAAAGAAGTAATAAAACTTGAAGAGACTTTATTGAAAATGCTGAAAACAAACTAAACTCGCTGAGTTTGGAATGTGCTTTTATGCCAAGACCTGGTACTACTTTGCCTTATATGGTGACTGAGAGGCAAAACGGACTACTTGCACGCCGGCTACGCGGGCTGATGTTTCACCAAACGCAAGAAGGTTGGGTGATTCGCCTAAAACTGAGCTTGTACGAACGTGACTGTGGGACTTGGAGGAGACAGACTGCACACGTTGCACCCGAGGGAAAGAAAATGGATACATGCCAGTCCAGAAAAAGGAATAAACAAAAGCACGGCAGTATTAGACCAGAGTGTACCAGAGATGTGTCGTTTTTTGGGGGAAACGTTTAGCTGGGAGTGGTTTTTAACAGAATCGGAGAAAGTGTCCTTGTGGTTTCATCAATGTGCCAACAGCTCATCAAGGCTGCAGCTAGAAAAAAACCCAGAAGAAGTACATAGGATCCAAGAGATGATAAATAGAAAGTGTTTTCTAAAAGCTAACATTGAGGTTGTAGTGAACTTTATCCTTTCAGGAGAGTGTGATCTATCTTTTCATCAAGGTGTGGACTCAATGTTCAGGGTTAAATATGTCAAATATGCATTCAGGGAGGAGCTTTCCAAGTCAGAGGCCATGTTTTCTTTTTTGTTTGTTTTTAATAAAACAGAAATAAAATTGTAAATATTCTACCGCTGCCTTGTGTCACTGGAAAATAGAGAATTCACCTGGCTGTTTCTGTCTTTGCTGAATTTCAAACAACCTGTGAGGGAAAGGTTGGGTGTACGACGCTGTTCTGGAGCGAAGCCATGATTCCTTAAGTAACTCACTCGACTTTGAAGGCCTACGCCCTAAGCAGGACTCAGCTCATGTTGGCCTGTAAGCACAATTAAAATTTTGTTAAACGCTCGCCAGCTTGACTGGGCAAGAAGCGATTTTGTGTGTTCTTGTTTAGTAATTCTGAAGACTGGATATTTTGCTAGGGAACAATTTAAAGTTTACACAGTCTTCCATACAGGGCTTTATTGAGTGTATTTATAGAAAAGGAGGCTTTTTCTTATTTTATGTGATAAATGAGATCACGACCACCCTTGATCCGCTGTAAAGTTTCTAAATCAGACGGTAATGCTGGAAAATGTTATTGGCATTGATTAGGAGGAATCAGTTGCACAGGGTTTTGTGTTTTTAAAACTTAAAGAGTATTATGTTGTGTTTTGAAAAACTGCAAAAAAAGTTTTTGTTATTAAATGCTTTTAAAATGATCTTGACTGTGGCTGTGTCTGTATGAGCGGGTGTATCAGTGAACTGTGAGAAAAGTGTCGTAGATTAAAGGCTTTTTAATGTCTTTTTTTCCAGTTTAATGAAAATGTCAAAGTTGAACAATAACAGCATCACAAAGGGAGAATAATGGTGGATTTCCCCAGTCACACAGTGACTCTCTTAGTGATAATAAACACATTTTTGCAGAACATGCAGTAGAACATTAAATAAAAACAACAGAATCTGATGTTATTAAGGAACTGTTTGAGAACGAGGACTTGTTAAACTATCAGGCTCTTAATAATCTGACAGAAAACCAAACAAAGCTTCAAGTTTAGGATAAAGTAGAACGTTTTATCTTCACATCTAGAACCGAGTGGACTTTACTCCTCAGCTGTGCATCTTCCATCTCCATCTACTTCTGTTTCTTCATCTCCTCCAGCTCCTCGTTAACTTGGTGCAGCTGACTCAACTTTAACTGTTCTGTCAGAACCACAGGACAAATGAAATGTTGCACGTTTGCCTACAGACGATCAGTAAATAACCAGAGGATACTTACCGGTTGACAGCAGTTGATCTTTTGTATTTTCAGCCAACTCCAGCTCATATGGAAGTCTCTCTGGAGTCTAATATTTCAAACAAGATCCATTATATTAAATAAATAAACAAATAAATAAATAAATGAGAACTAAATGTTAATGAATCAAGAGTCTTACAAAGACGGAGTGGAGTTGCTTGAATTGCTCGGTCAGCTGCTGAAGTTGGTTTTCAAATTTCATCCTGTTGAAGCAGAGTTCTCATTTGTGGGACCAGCTCCCAGCTTTAGTCCGTGAGGCAGACACCTTGTTTACTTTTAAGAATAGGCTTGAAACTTTTTTATTTGATAGGGCCTATGGTTAAAATCTGATGTTAGCCTAAATCTGGACAAGTGGGGGAGTAGAGGGAGGTGGAGTGTACAGTCGGTAAAGACGGCTCTCCCTTGCCCTGCCTCCATGATGCCTCCATCTGAGGCCTAGTCCACATGTAGCCGGGGTTTTTTAAAAACGAATATCCGCCCCTCCAAAAACTTGCATCCACACCACCTCGTTTAAAAAAAAACTCTGTCCACACGTACCCGGATAAATACGTTGTTAAGGACATGCCAGACCTGTAGGCGGCAGTACTTCCCCCGTTCTTAACCTCGTCCTTCGTCTGTGGTCTTCCGCAAGGAGCAGTAATTCCGCTTGCAAACACAAACAAGCAGAAAGCGCTTGGACGATTGATGGATCGGGTAGTGACAGAGCGCAGCTCTGAAGGCTTCCATGATGTCGGCTAGTGTAAACACAGGTCGCACACGTGGTGTCAGCATTGCTTTGTCGCGGAAAGTGACGTTGCGAACCTTAAAACTCCGGTTTTGTCCGTCCACACGCAGACACCCAAAACGGAGAAAACGCAGATCTTCACTTTGGCCGGAGTTTTTAAAAAGATCCGTTTTCGTGTGGATGACAGGCCAAAACGTAGAAAAATATCTACGCTTTGGCAGATCCCCGGCTACGTGTGGACAGGGCCTAAAAGGCTAGATTATCCAGAGTTATCTCTGTAGTTATGCTGCTATAGGCTTAGACTGCTGGAGGACACACCAACCACTTTCCACACTCTACTACTTTCTTCTACAATCTGCTCTTTAACTGTATTATTTTCTGCTATTTCAGCTGTTAACTTTATTTTTTCTCTGTTTTTCCATAAGGTGGCCTCATGGAGGGGGCCATCGGCTAGCACACTGTAGCTAACCACTTAAACATTCTCCCTCTCCTGATAATTAATAGACGTGTGTGTGTGTGTGTGTGTGTGTGTGTGTGTGTGTGTGTGTGTGTGTGTGTGTGTGTGTGTGTGTGTGTGTGTGTGTCTGCTCTGTCTTCTCGATCCCCAGTGAGTCGTGGAGGATGGCTGCTTATACTGAGCCAGGATCCTCTGGAGGTTTCTTCCTGTTAAAAGGGAGTTTTCCTCTCCACTGTCGCTACAAGCTTGCTTAGTATGAGGATTGCTGTAAAATATGACGCAGCCTGCTGGGTTCCTTACATAGGAAACTTTTTTCTGATTGACTTAATGAGGTGACCTGTATTGGAATGTTTATTATGTGAAGTGCTTTGAGACGACGCTTGTCGTGATTTGGCGCTTTATAAATAAACTTGAAGTGAATTTGTAAAGTGTTTTTTCTTTGTTGTTGTTGTTGTTGTCTTGAACACAATAACTTGTGATAACATAAACTGGTACCGTAGCTTCCTGTGTTTAAGTCGGACTTCCTGGATTTCACATCTGCGCTGCTCCAGCAGGTCCTTGCTCTCCTTGTTCTTCTTCAGCTGTCTGAAAAACACACTTTTATCATTCTGCACGAGATGCAAACACACTTTTTATGTGTCAGGTCAATTCAGAGGCATCCAAAGCCCGATTTGGAACCTACATAATATTTATGTTTAAGCCCAGACTTTGGAAGCTAGTTGAATCTGATAAATAATACGACTTGTTTAGTGTTTTTTTTTATGTAAACCAGCAACATTTACCTCTGAAAGTTTGGAAACCAATACAGAAAAGTAAAAGTGGTTTAACTAGCTGAGAGGCTAGGTCCAACCTGGACAGGTCACTGGTTCCAAAAAGGGTCAACAGAGAGACACCAGTATGCACTCACTCTTCGTTAAACGACTGGAGGAAACCCTTTCAGACACAGGAAAGCAGGACTGCAACATAAACAACCGTGCCAGCTTTGACAAGAAGCTTTCATGAAACAAGTCCTTCCAGCCCTCTGGTGTTTATGGACACAGAAACTGGAACAACACCGACTGATGGATGGCAGGACATTCTTCTATCACATCAGTGAGAAGAAAATGAGCAATATAGGAAGTCCAACTGGCTGTTAACTTTTTTTTTGTCCAACAGCAGAAAAATTAACTCAAAAAATGAAAGGATGAGTCCGTTTCACAATCCCCTCACTGAGCTGGTTTAGATGCTCAACACGGCAATAAAGGCAAAGCAAGATGTGTGTGGAAACTTCAAACACGGTGTCAGATTTCTGCTCAGAGTGCATAATTAATGAATCAATTCCTACTTAAATTGTGTTTCAGGAGTCTCTAAAACTATCGTAAATAACTAAAAATATCAGAAAATATTGAGAAATATTAAGTATTTATATCGCCAAAATCTAAGGTTTTGCCACTGACCACTGATTTGCTTTTATTGGAAGTTACTGCCACCTAGTGTCAGAAAGCGGCATATTTAGAGGCTCTCTGCATGAATACGCCTGATTCACATGCTGAACATGTAATTCAGCCATCGGATCAGGCTTGTTGGAGAAGGGAAACAACAAAAACACTCTAGATAGAGGAGACGTGTATCATGCTTTACCTACAACACTCCTGCTCAGAATCTTCACACTGCAGCTGCAGCTTTGTGATCAGCTCTGAAAAAAATCCCCAAATATTAAAAAAAAGTTTGACTTTGACCACACGTATCATTATAAAAACAAATATTCATGATAATCATTTGCGTCTATTGGCACCTCTTTTGTCTTTAACGAGTCCCTCCAGTTCATAAGCTTTTGTGTGTACTGCAAGAACAATGAAACATAAGCTTTACTGTGAGATGTGAATATCATAGACAGGGCTTGGATATTTCAGCTCTAAATATGAGTGGTCTCACAAGATTCCAGTTCCTTCAGCAACGCTTCTTTCGCAGATTTAAGTTCTTCATATTCATTCTTTATGGTTGCTTGTCCTTAAAGAATTTAGGACAGTTAACAATAAAACAAACATTTACTTGGTCTTTCACATGATGGCAAAGTTACGATCATTTAATATTATTTTGATCATAATCATTAGTGATGTGTCGGTCGCGAACGAACCGGCTCTAAGAGCCGGCTCTTTGAAGTGAACGGCGGGAACCGGTTCGTCATTGGGAGCCGCCGCCCCGCCTTGGTGAAAGCTACAGGCGATTGGTCAACCTGTGTAACTGTGTGTCCAGACTGTCCACACACAGAGCAGTAGGGGCGGGGAAGAGGGAGGATCATACTCAGACAGACACACAGCAGAGCACATGTGGGAGGAGGGAGACGAGAGGGAATGAGGAGGAGGAAAAAGGTGAGCGAGAGGGAGGAGAGTGCGACGAAGACGGTGAGAAAATGAGCGCCAGCAATCAGAAAGTGGAGATTTCTTAAAGTGTTCAGTTATTAAATCCATAGAAATGATAAATATTTGATATATTGCTTTTTTTTACATTAGCAAATTATTTTACATATAGTTTAGCATTATTTTGGTTATAAATGTACTCTACACCAGTGGATCCTAACCTGGGGGTCCTGACCCCCACAAGGGGGCGCCAAAGCCTCTCAGTGGGTCGCCAGGACCTCTCCACTTTAAGGGGTTAAAACTTTATTTATTACTTGTTTATAGCCTACATTTTGCTCACTTTTTTTCATGAGTGAAAAGTCTACTGATATTAAGACAGGAAATAATTAGTACAGAAAAAGTAACACATTTAAGAACAATTTGCTCAGCTCACTGTTTTATTTTCAAGTGTCAAAAGTTCATTAAAGATAGGACTGGTTGATTAATCACAGCGTTTACAGTAAATAATCTAGTATAAACAGTAATATACACATTTAAGTACATTTTGCTCAGTGTATTTTTTATGTGTCAAACGTTTATTGAAAGGAATGATTGATTTATCAGTGTTTACAAGAAACAATGTGTTCAGAAAAGTAATACTAACAGTCAAGCACATTATGCTCTGTTTGGTTTTGTTCATGACTTTGTTCTGTACTGGAGCCTACTAGTACTGTTATCTATTAAATCAAAGCATATTAAAATGTGCTTGAACAATTGTATCATTTCTTAATACTATTTGTACTGGAAGAGAAAATGGGAGGGGGTCGTCAAAAAATTTACTGGTAAAAATCGGGGTCCCTTGGGGAAAAGGTTGGGAACCACTGCTCTACACAACAGAAAATCTGGGGACCCACTTGGGAACCGAAAGAGCTGGCACTTTTTGATGGGCTGATCCAAAAGTGCCAGCTCTCTATAAGAAGCTGGAATTCCCATCACTGATAATTATCTGTGTTACAAATAGCAGATCAGAATGGGTCCTGATGGGTGTTGCTGTTCCCACCAGGACAGAGACATTAATCACATCTCATTTAGCTCCATTCATCATGTTCTGCAACTCCACGGATGGAGTAACAGGTAAGGATGTACCTCACTGACAATACAGTACATATGATCGGAAATCCACTTTAACTAGTATAACCCACCGTCTGACTGACGGTAGTAACTTAATCTCAATACTGGAATTTTAGAATGTGTACGTTGACACAGTTGGCAAACATGATGTCTAAAATACCAAAACATTACAAATAAAGATAGTTATGCCTTTTAATTCCTTAAAACTGACGAGGAAGTGACTTTTTATTAGTATGTCGTCACTAAAACGTGCGCTCTTATTGGTTCGCACATTACCGATGATTTTTATAGCGGAATTAAAAACCCAAAGTTCGTGTCTTCTGCTTACATGTTTTTTTAGACCCTTAAAGTTTGCAGACACATTTAAACTACTTATTGTCACTGTTTTAACGACAGTGAAGGTTAAAACAAGAAAGCGGAATCGTTAGCGGAAAAGGAACACGGACTTTACAAAGAGTAATGAAAAGAGTCAAGATGACTCACCTTCTTTGGTGAAATTGTTCGCCGAGCTCACAAATGGCAAAGAAAAGACGAATATTCTTCATTAATTGCTTTATTTAGTCCTAATAAAACACTAAGGTGCGAATATAACCCATATAACTTTATTATATCCATTTGTACCACTTCCTTACGTTGTTTAAGCACTTGAACACGAGAACGGAAGTACGAGACAGGGAGTTAGCTTGACAATTTAATTTAGGTAAATCCAGTTTGTATATGAGATGCTGATTTGTATTAGCGTCACAAGCCAGACTAAATAAATATACGCTTTAAAAAGCAAGAATTTGGCAGCTTTACAAAGCAAGAATTTGGTCTAGTTCGCTAGGCTAGACTATCGGCTATCAGTGGAAACTAAACTGTGGATTGTTTCCCTGGTTTATATAGAAACGTGTTGCTGTTAATCAGACAGAAGCATAAACACAGAAAACGTTTTCTTTCACACAAAACAAAAAGTTAACATACATTTAAAACTTGAATAAATATAATTAAAATCAGAAACCTTTTTGCAGTTTTCTAAGAATTTCCGTCAGCTGCGCGACTTTGGGTGGCTGTAGCAGATCACCTGCCCAAACCAGAGCAAGAAAATAAGCATAAACATTTTTAAAACGAGTTTAACGTATAGGATGTGCTTATACTGTACCTTCTTTCAGCGTTGTCAAGTTAATCATTTCCTCAACGCTGCATCCTTTACATATAAAGAAATTAGATTTTAAAACATTTAGTTACTTTCAACTGCGGATAAGACACAGGCTAATTTGGCAGATGTATCATTGAGTCGTCATTTGACGACAGGAGCAGAAAAAAATGGATTAAATTGACTCAATAACAACTTATTTACATTTGTGATTTATCTTTGTCTATTAAAAAGTAAGAACAATGTAAAAGCTCATCATTTTCACAACAAGAATAGTTTTCGAGTAGAAAGAGCTAACAAAATTTTGCTAAATGCCGTTTAAGCTAGTTATGACGCATTAAAATTGAATAGTGACAAACTTTTTTAGAGCATTTACACACTAACTTTTGCTGGTTAAATGCATTTTTTTTTATCCTGCAGATTAATTTTAAGTGTTGAGCGTCATACCGCTTAGTTCCTCCATGTTTGCTCTCTAACGTTAACGTTAAACCCTAAACCTCTTTAACGAAGAGTGGCTCGTGCCATAATCACCACAGACGCCTCATCAAACACCGGGGGCTCGGGGTGGGGTGTGGGGGCTAAGCCACCTGAAACTCCCCTCCCTGCTGTTGAACTCCCAACACCAACTTTGAGTGGTTTTAATACACAATTTCTAATAATTAATGTATTAGGTTTTAAGACAGTTGTATAATCTATGACACTGGGCTCTGTTGTTTTTTTAGTTAATATAAAATGAAAAAATAAAAATAAGCCCTGCATCCTAAGATTATGATGTATTCTGTTTGTCTCAGACCTGATAGTAGTTAGGGACAGAGTTTTGATTTTAAAAATCTAACTACAAAACTTTGACTTCTACTTTCTCCAGATCAGGCTGCATTCTTTACAATCCAAAGAGCCGTTTCCCTCTTAGGTCCATGGGAATACTACGCGTTTAGAGAAAATCTCACATTAAAGATCGTACGAAACTAGGCAAGTTATAATTTTTGAGAAATGTTAATGGAAGAGGATTAGGACTACTGAAAAATAGGTTCACTATTTTCCCGAATTCTGACACAGGTCAAAACTCAGAAATTAAAATCAGGATTGATTTTTGTTCAAACCTTTCAAGACAATAAACCGAAATCATCCCGGTATTAGTTTTTTCAGGCCAAAAAAAGTAAAATAGTGATTTTTGTATTTAAAAAAATGCAAAAATGATTTTAAAGTGAATTCTTTAATCGTCAAAAATCATCCAAAATTAGCATATTAGTAAAAACCTCAACACTTATTTCTATGTGCCCTAAAGAAGCCATTAAACCTGAAGCACAAAGCACAGCACCTTTACACTGTACCCATTTTATTGAAAAGCAAACAGCTGTGAAGAGGAAATCAGTTCAACTTTGATGCAAATATACAAGGTGAACAGACCTACGAAGTCCAACCTTAAAGTATACACACCCAAACACTACAGAACCCTATGTACACTCACGTTATCTGGGTACAAACACTGTAGTTTAAAAGAAAGTTCTATCACAGTTTAAAAACCAGAAACAATAGCTTAACTGTGCATTGTCAGCACATGCAAATGACGATGGGGTCATGCAAGATGTATAAAGAACTAAAAACATGTAGAAATGGTGTTAAATACACCCCTCAACATTTAGTGCATTTTGATTTCTTAGTTTTTAATAGACAATTTTTTTTACGGGTTAAGTTTACAATGAGTGAATGAATGAAAGACATAGATTGGACACAAATGGGCTCGGGCATCACTCCGCAGCTGGATTATGTCCTTTAAATAAGTTTTTATGTACAATAATCTCAATCAAATCAGTTCACGTCATACATACAATAACAATCTGCAACGAGGAAAAAAATTAAAAACTCTACAGTAATGACCACACAGACTAGAGAAGGATGAAAAAAGGAGAAAACCATACATGTGGTGTGACACCAATATTTAAGAATATATTCTTTTGAAAACAATCCATAAGAATACACAGCTTACAAATATTCCTGCATGTTCAAATGAAACAAAAACATCCAAGGTGGAGCACGTTTCCTTCAGCATGCCTTTAAGAGGTAGGAACGGGGAAGTACTTGCATCATAACAGACACGCTTAATTATGTACAGCTGTGCTAAGCGAGCTAGAGGTTTCCCTCTCATTAATCTACAGCGTCGTCGGTGGCATTTCCAGTTTTGTCATGCAAGAGCAGCTCACTCCAGCTGGCTGAAAAGAAGATCCAGATGTGAAAACAAAACAAAAAATTGAGTATTTCAGGCCACATCTTTCAGGCAAAGCTGGTTCTGGATCAGCAATGAGCTCTTGCAGCAAGGTAGCGGGGAGTGTGGAACACTCGCAGCAGAGCGTGCTTTGTGCCATGCTGTACTGGTGGTTCTAGTGTGGCATTAGCAGAATCAGAGACGAGACTGGCTGCAGTCCGTCAGGGAGTAATTAACACGGCTCCCGGTCTGCTGAATTTTGACATGCTGCATCTCCTCTACAGTACCTGTTTTAAGAAAACACACAACAGGAACAATGAGGGGAGGGAGACAGATGAATCAGAGAGAAGACGTGTTTGCAACTTTTGACAATAAAAGGAAGCTTTTGTTTCGACGCTGTGTTCCTGAAGGCTCGAGCTCAATCGCGGGAGCGCCCCACGAGGGCCAGGATGTAGAGGAAAATGTTGATGATGTCAGTGTAGAGGTTGAGGGCTGCAAAGATGTACTCCTCTGGACTCAGGGCCAGCTTCTTGTTGCCAAGGAGGAGCTGAGTGTCAACAGCCAAAAACTAAACAGAGGTAAAAGGAGGATTTTGTCATTTCCTGCATGTTTCACAGTCGAAATTAAAGACATTTTCTGTAAACTGATGTCATTTTCTCCTGAAAATGAGAATCATCTTGTCATTTAGACTAGGGCTGAACGATTTTGGAAAATAATCTAACTGCGATTTAACTCACGATTATTGTCTCAAGGGGCTGTTCTCACTATTTTTCAACAAAAAAAAAAGCAAAGACAAAAAAAAAATCTAACTTGTGCTGAATATAAACAAGTTTATATATCTACATATTTACCTACATATATCAACAAGTTTATTTGTCAACACATGCATAAACACTGCCAAGTAAAGACAAAATGTTGTATGTGAAAGTGCGATGCTCTGCAGCCAGGTGCACATCCCTTGAAGGAGCAGAAGTGTTAACATCAACTGTGAAAATTGATGTTCAGGAAAGAAGTGTGTCCCGTTTATTGAAGTCTTTTGTGTTTAGAGTTTTTGACGTCTTGTCCACGCAGAGCTTCCGTAGTTCAGTTACGTTCATAGCTGCTAGCCAAAACTCTGAAGTTAAAGTCTCTTACGGTTTTCTAGCTTTACTAAAACATCTGTCCGTACTTTTTGATTTATGGCAGTTTTTACTTTTTATTAGACTCCAAATGTAATAATTTGGCACGTTCCCAATTCGTTACTTGTAAGAATGTAATCTGCAATATTAGCATTAGCATCCCTATGGGTTTTTCCATGTATATTAGCATTGTGCTAACCACTTGCTGCCAGTCAAATCGCAGCCTTTGCGATTAGAAAATCTCCTTTTGTCACATCGTAATTCAATTGCATATGCAATTAATCGTTCAGCCCTAATTTAGACACGTGCGCTGAACTTACGCAGGTGAAGAGCAGAGCCCCCAGTGAGGCATAAAAGATGTGCAGGATCCTGTTGCGGATGAAGATGCAGAGGATCGAGAACAGCAGCAGCACGATGAGGCACACGAAAAGAACGCCCCGACAGGAAGTGAAGTCATACTTGCTCTGTGAAAAAATAAAAATAAACAAAAAATTCTGTTTAGGAAAAGGTTTAATTCAGCAGACATCTGTGGAAAGAGAGAGAGAGTGTGTGTGTGTGTGTGTGTGTGTGTGTGTGTGTGTGTGTGTAGAGTTGTGCTGACCTGCAGAGAGAAGAGGACCACGGTGAAGCAGACAACTGCAGTGATGCCGACAGCTATGATGACCGTCTCTGTGTTGTAGAAGCTGGCGATCATGCCCACCATGTAGGACAGGCTCAACGTCAGGATGGACTAGGAAGGAGAAAACAAACAACCTTTTCACCATTTTCATATTGCGTGCAACTTGTTGTTTAAGTCAGATTTTTAAAGACCAATTTGACTTGTTTTTCAATAGTATAAAAGAATGCCTCGTGAGTCGATCTGTGGGGGAAAAATAACTGTTTCAGGAACTAGAAGTTAGCCAGAGGAGAGGTGAGCAGTCGAGCTAATCTACAGCGTGTGGTTTTTGGCTTCATGCATGCATCCTGCTCTCTCAGCTGCTGCCACATCCAGCTATTGCAAACATCCTACCCCTCTCTTCCCCATCCAGGAAGTGCTGAACATGCACGCTCCTCCCCTAGACTGTAAACGCTCATGCCCGCTTTGAGAAGCGAGCAGGTGATTTAATCTCCCGAGCTGTGAGGATCTGACAGCTTTATCTGGTCTGCCCTTTTGATGACGCCTAGAAAATGAAACTACATTTTGTCAGTGAGAAGGAAAGTCGTTAAGTCTTCCTAAAAAGTTTCATCGCCAGAAATTGTTGGATTTTATCTTCAGGTGCTGTTGTGTGACGGGGTGAGTACTCCTCCTTCTCTACAACATCTTTGTGAGACCTTCATTCCAGGAGAGGGCACTCACCAGCTGCGGAGCATTACCAATCAGCGGCAGCTGCAGATCCTCAGATCATCTGCAGCAGAGCTCTATTTAAGAGGAGAGGGAACTACTTCACATCACTGGATGATTAACCACTCACGGTAGTATCTTGCCACTCAAGTCTTAGGTTATGCTTGGTCTCTGCTCAGACTTAGGATGTTATTGGATTTTTTGCTTGGATTCTTGTGTTTGGACCCTTTGGACTCAAGTTTGGTTTCCTCTTCAGGTTACTTGGAAACACTGAACCATTGATGGATATACCTACCTGGAATTCACCATAACCCGCCTGGACTACAACTCTCAAGGTTCGCCTCTCCTCCTGTTTCTCTTGTCCTCTGCCGCCATCATCTGGCTCCCTCTCCTGGACACACCCCGTCACACCGTCTGCCCTCCCTGCTGACTTCTGGACTCTTGCCGGCTACACTGAACTTGGATATCTCCAGGACACTTTTAGTTAGGTTAAATAAATCATTGTTTGAACTTTCTGCCGTAGTCTTGTGATGATTCTTCATGTTGTGGGTTAAACACCTTCCCAGGGACATGACAGGTGCTCTCTGAAACTGAGCAGTATTGGAGTGGATTTTCAGATGGATTAGTTCTTCAAACCGGCGCCATTCCAACATTAAAACCACCTGATGGAGAGACCAACACCAAACCACTAGCTGAATGGTTACGAAGTTTGGTCGGCGTCCATTTGGGCTGCCACGATTAGTCGACTACTAAAACGGTCGTTTGTGGCAGCCCTAATGGTCATGTAGCCAAAGCCGCTTTCTTCTTCTTCATGGCCCATGGTGCTTTGCTGGGAATCTTGGATTATGTCATGAAGTGGGGGGAATTCACACGTGTGGAAGCAGGAAATCATCAAACCCAAACGTTTTATTTATTTTATGTCTCAAAAAAATAACATATTTTAGAATAAATGGCATCTCCATGGTGCAAACAGTAATAGCACCGCTCTGAAAGAGCATGAAATAGTCCACCAGATTTGCAGCTCAAAAATGACCTTATCTTTGTACAGATGCATAAAAAATACCTTAGAACAGGGGTGTCAAACTCATTTTAGCTCAGGGGCCACATTGAGGAAAATCTAGTTCCAGGTGGGCCAGACCGGTAAATGAAAACCTGCTTTTCTCCCAGTCATTGAGGGCGCACCATCTGTAGCGAGGCTTACGGCGCGGGACCATTGCACTCTGACCCTGTCCAGCGCTCCGAGTGCGGTGAAAATATCAGCTGCTGTTGTATCCGTCATGGACACCAGCTCAACAAACTCCTCGGTGACGGTCAACGTGTCATCAACTCCACGGATGACAATCGCCAGTTGAGCAACATCTGTAATGTCCGTGCTTTCATCAATAGCAACTGAAAAAGCAATAAAGGACTTTACTTTTTCCTTCAATTGCCAGTCCAAATCCGCTGAAATATCAGAAATCCTGTCTGGAATTGTGTTTCTAGTCAGGCTGGTATGTGCAAAAGCTTGGCGCTTTTCAGGGCACACAATCTCCGCTGCCTTCATCATGCACGTTTTTACAAATTCCCCCTCACTAAATGGTTTTGAAGCCACTGATATTTCATTAGCAATCAGGTAGCTAGCTTTCACTGCAGCATCACTGATATGTCGGCTGTGAGTAAACGCAGACTGCTGTTTCTTCAGTCCGGCCAACGGTTCATTCACCTTCTCTCTTCTCTGCTGTCCTTCAAATTTGTCATATTTTTCGGCATGAAGACTCATAATGGCGACGAAGATTATATTCTTTCAGCACTGCAACATGCTGTGAACACACCAAACACACAGCTTTTCCGTTCACTTCCATGAAAAAATAGGGGGGATGTCCATTTTTCTTGGAACGACCTGCACTCTGTGTCCACTTTTCTCCTTTTTGACAGAGACATCTTGGGCTGAAGCACAAAATGTAGACGCCGGATTAGAACACCTGTTGCACTTGGTTGACGTACTTGCTCTGGCTGAGGATTAACGGCTTACTTGCTTAACACAATGCCTATTACACCATCTAGTGAACGTATTGGGAACAGCAGGTTTTTTATTGAAAAATTAGAGTTTATCTTCACTCTACATTGTAAAGTATGAAAATAAAGTTTATACAACCATCTCGCGGGCCGGACTTAACCTGTTTGCGGGCCTGATCCGGCCCGCGGGCCGTATGTTTGACACCCCTGCCTTAGAAGTTCACATTTGTTTGTTTGTTTATCCTTTAGTTGTTTAGATAAATTCTTACCAAAGCCACCAAATTCCAGGGGTGCTTGCGACGGAAGTCCCCACAGCAGCTGAGCACAATCAGAGACACAAAGAAGACGGCGTAGGACACGTAGTACGTCCACGGGTTACGGCGCACAAACAACTTGGCATCGGTGACGAAGGTGAAGACGGCCACAAAGGAGAAGGTGACCAGCAGCTGTGCGGTGAGAACTGAGAACACCTGACGCGAATAGAGAAAAAAAACTTCTTAGAGCAGAAGAATCAGTTTTTAGCTGCTTTACCATAAAAACACGTTTTCTTTTACATCTGCCTGAATTCAGTCATTTGTTTGTCTTACTTTCCTGATGAAGGCTTGTCGGATGCTCTTGTCCTCAAAGCCAGAGCTGGTGAACTCTTCATTGCCGTAGTAAGATGGAGGCACATCACCATGGTAACCAGGGCTGCCTGCAGGTGCTGCTGAACGATTACAAGATAAAAAGCAAATGTTTAACAGCTAATGGACGGATGTTGGAACACACCGAATATGTAAAACTAGATGGGTGATTCCCCCCCAAGCAGCAAAAATGAAAAGGTTAACTCACCCATGGGGTCACCAGGAAAGCCCAGCTGGCCGGGTCCTTGCTGATACGGATCTTGAGGGTAGGGTCCTTGAGGGTAGGGTCCTTGTGGGTAGGGTCCTTGTGGGTAGGGTCCTTGTGGGTAGGGACCAGTGGCAAAACCTGAGCCTGCTGGGGGGAAGGCTGGCTGTCCATATCCGACCGCTGGTGGGTACGGTCCCCCAGGGCCTTGGCTGTAGTTGGGAGGGGGTGCAACAAACCCTGGCTGAGGGGGTCCGTAGACGTTGTTATGGAGTGGGTTGCTCTCACCCATAATGGGAAATCCACTTTTGTCCTGGGACATGGTGTGGGCAAATGCTCACAGCCTCAACAACCTAAGAAGGAGAATTACACAACAATTCAAACTTTAAGCCGCCTGCACTCGATAAGTCAAACAAAGAGGAAGATGCGAATTTAAATGTTTATACGCCACATAGGGCTGTCACGGTAACCGCAAAAATGAAATATCGCAATATGAAGAAACCCACCGCGCTGCATCATGGGCCACCGCGATTACTGAACTTGGTTCAACTCAATGATGCATGTTGAGAAGGATGGCTGCACTGGTATCAAAACGAAACGTTACTTCGCTCCTTTGGGAGCACTTTGGTTTTCAGTACGCTACACAGCCAGAGTCCTTGGCTGAGACAGAGCTGCAGCGGCAAAAAAAAAAAAATAAACGCTCGGAGACCTGCTGAAGTCTCGGACAAGCACTGCTTCTGCAACCGTCCCGAAGAGAGTTTGAGCCGAGCTGGAGCTCACTCGCTACCTGCAGGAGGAATGCATCCACCCTAAAGAACCCCCCCTGACATGGTGGAGCAACAACCGGGAGAGATTCCCTTTGCTCGCCAGAGTCGCACGCAAGTACGTGTGTGTTAGTGCAACGAGCGCACCATCCGAGAGGGTTTTCAGTGTTGCTGCAAATGTTGCCACCCCTCTCAGATCCTCTCTCAAACCGTATATGGCTAACATGCTGGGTTTCCTTGTGGGTAACAAGGACGTGACCGAGCTATAAATCACCGTCATTCGTGTGTGTGAAAGTGAAAGTGAAACGATAGTGCCCCGCGCCCAGTACATGTCATTTTTTATGCGTGATTTTAAACAACTAAACAAAATGGGGACTTGTTTCTTATTTGTTAGATGCTGCAGCCAAATTTGCATTTAAAAGTTTAACCTTCTCCTGAATTTTGTTGTTTTTAAGTTCAGTCGGACTCCGACTGTCGGAGAAACAAACGTTACTGCGATCTGTGTTGTTACTGCCCTTCGAACTGCATTCAGTAAAGTGTTATAAAAGAAGGCACGGCAATTTTTAACCTTTTTAAATGTGTAAACATTATGTTTAGATAGTACTGCAATAAAAAGAAAGTGCTGCAATAATATCACACACCGCAATATTAAGCCACCCTGAATCACCGCAGGAGGAATTCCTCAACCGCGACAGCCCTAACGCCACAAATGATCAGAGCTGGAAATCTAAGCCTTCCCAGGAACACTGGATTAGCCAAAGACGGGTCATCCCCTGGGATACATGTTGAAAAAGACAAATATTTTTAAACAGCAACTTGAACACCTTCAAAAGTTGATGAAGCCAGGTGGACGAGTTTCTGCTGCCCACTGGAGAACGGGAATCTCTCACCGACAGAAGACACAAGTGCTCCCAAATGTGCTTTAAAGGTTCAATGGAGGGCTAAAGCCACCCCCCCCCCCCACACACACACACACCTCTGTTTGGGCTCCCTCCTTCCTTCCACTCCCCGTTTCGAGGCCATGATGAATAAACAGTTAGCGTTATGCAACATCACTCCATTTTGCGCCTGCAAAGGCGTTTGGACTCCAGCGAGCGTCCTGATGATCCGTCTGTGTGGTAAGATGCTCGCTGCAGACAAACATGCTGGCAGTGTTTCATGCTGACACTCTGCATTAAGATCTTTCCAGATTACAGCCAGTCTCTCAGGAGCCAATTCCCACCAAACACAGCAGCGGTGTTTATTCTACACACGATGCTTCTTCAGTGAGCCATCCAGTTAGTTTCATTTACACAAAAGTCTCTCATGAAACCATTTGTAACATTAACCAGTTTTATTACCTCGTAGCACCAAGAGCCACACCCAGTCGCAGCTCATGATCTCGTCCCAGTCCAAAGTTCATGGAACACATTTACCACTTCGTGGTGTCGCGCCTCATAGGCCGAGGTGTTCACGCAGCAGAATGGTGAACACTTAAGGCCACATTTCAGCCATGAGTTTAAACTAACCGATTATGAATCACAAGTAAATTAAAACCTTCTGTGGAGAAACTGGAATTTTCCACTAAGTTTCTGAACCTGAGATTGCTCATGCACGGTGATTTTGCTACAGAATAAGCTCCTTGTTGGATTTAGGAACATCTAGTGGGACTTGCAAACAAAAATCTTGCAAATCATGTTAACTAAGGTGACTGCGATGCATTTTATGTTTAGGGTCGACTAAAGCCTGCTTTGTGTAACCAGCATGGGTTTATCCATCATGATAAAAGTCAATTTATCATTTTAAATTGTTACTAGGGATGCACCGATACTGGTATCGGTAAAAGTTAACCGATACCAGGAACCGATACCAATGCAGTTGCTTGAAAATGGCTTCACTGTAACTTGTCATTTCTGTTCACCTAATATTTTAGCTTTGTGGTGATTTCTATTCATATATTTTACTTCTTATCTACCTCACAGTCTTTCCCTGTTGAAAGCAGAGAAGAAAATAAAATCTGTATTCCAAATCATTGCATTTTTTTTTGTGTGGTAGAAGTATCGGTATTGGTAATCGGTATCGGTGAATATTCAGATCCAAGTATCGGTTTGGAAAAAAATGGTATTGTTTCATCCCTAATTGTTACCGTATTAACTCATGCACTTATTTGTCAATATGCACACACTTTATGTAATATTATTGTTTATTTTAGTTATTATCATTCTAGTCTCTTACATCTGGTCTTTTACCTGCGTAAATAAATGTTTAATAGTTAATTTTCAGCGAGAAACCAATCAGCCATCGTGTATATCGGGGGTTTTGACAATGAGACACCTTTCTTCCGTGCAGAGGTGTAATCAAGTCACTGCTTTGCGAGTCACAAGTCTTTCCAGTCAAGAGTCAAGTCAAGTCCAAGTCAAAGACAATCAAGTCCAAGTCAGGTCCAAGTCCTTAACTTTGAATTTTCAAGTCATCTGTCCAACTTCAATTTAACTCATTCACTGCCAATGACGATAGTCGTCATTTGCATTATTTTTGCTGTGTGGGCGTCGGACGAGCCCCCGCACCGAGAGAACAAGCATCTCAGCTCTAAAGCCGATCTTCATCCGCATACGTCACACGTCACGTGATCGGGAAGCAGAAAATCCATGTGTTAGGAGATCGTTTTGGGCTGCTGCTGTAAAAAAGTCAGGTGCGAACCGGAAAAGCTTCTGCCGATCACAATTCAACAACGGATTATGAAAGAACGGATAACGCTTGAATTCTTCCTGATATAAGAGGTGAGTCTCCGCTTTGTTTTGTTTTGGTGTCGACGTCATCCTAGCGCGCAACGTTGTGTGACTCTTAAAAAAAACAGTAAAAACGGTCAGAAATGCTGGCAGCGAAGGGCTTTACCGATCAGGAAACGGCTGGCAGCGAATGAGTTAATAACTGATAATAAATAAATTACAGTAATAAAGCTTCTTGAAGCTTAATTTATTTGCTCAATCAAGCAGAAAATGCAACTGAAACTGATTCTAAACAAAGTGCTGCTGCATTTAGCAGTAAATCAAACCCAGAACGAAGAATGATTCATGATTTTTGTCCATGTCGGGCCTCTTTTGTGCCAAAATATAAAAAATGCTCAAGTCATCAGCAAGTCAACAGATGCAAGTCAATTCAAGTCGCAAGTCATTGACGTTCAAGTCCGAGTCAAGTCGTAAGTCTTTATAGATTTTATCAAGTCGAGTCAGAAGTCATCAAAATAATGACTAAAGTCTGACTCGAGTCCAAGTCATGTGACTCGAGTCCACAACTCTGCTTCCATGTGACATATTTAGTGACACACGGCTGTTATTACAAAAACACCCGATGTAAAAAAAATGTCTGTATGAAGCAAAGACTAGACACAAACAAAAATGACTCAGCAGAAGTTCTAGTAGTTTCTGGCCTTAGTTTCACTTCCATGTTTGAGAAAAAGTAGCACTGATTCAGATAGATTTGTGTTAAGAGAGGTTTCAAATCCTCTTAGTGGAGACGCCACAACGCTGCGCCACTGTCCCTGGCTTCTGCTGATAGGCATCTCTAAAGGAATTAGGTTAAAGAGAGGGATTCTGTGGTCCGGTCGGAGAGCCAAGTTAACACAATCAGGCTAGGACAAAACCTCCATGGCCCCACAGGCCACAGGCAACGTGCAACTATGTGCAACAGCAGGAAACACAGAGACAAAAAGAGCACAGCCAAAACAAGCAGTGGCCTGCAGTGCTATAAAAAAAACTCACATAAGGTAATCTGATGTTCAATGGAAAACCCCTAATTTCTGAAAAGTATGACGAATCCGTTCAAAAAGCGACAAACCACATGAAGCACTGTTGTCACACACACACACACACACACACACACACACACACACACACACACACACACACACACACACACACACACACACACCCCTTAACAAAGAAGTGCTTAAAAACAAACTCCTAAAACTAAACCAGTGTCCCATTGTATCACGCTGCTTGGATTAGCTACGGCGACGGTGGCACAGGAGTTAAGTGCTCGACCCATAATCGGAAGGTTGCAGGTTCGAGCCCCGCTCAGTCTGTCACTGTGTCCTTGGGCAAGACACTTAACCCACATCGCCTGCTGGTGGTGGTCGGAGGGACCGGTCGCGCCAGTGCTCGGGAGCCTCGCTTCTGTCAGTGCGCCCCAGGGCAGCTGTGGCTACATCGTAGCTCATCACCATCAGTGTGTGAATGTGGGTCTGAATGGGTGAATGACTGAATGACTGGTTGTGTTGTAAAGCGCCTTGGGGGGGTTCCAGGACTCTAGAAGGCGCTATATCAAATACAGGCCATTTACCATTTAGCTGTCAGATAAATATCTCAGTGTTATCAGACGGCCACTGCAGAAGTCAGCGTGGAAAGATACGGTCATGGTGACGGCAGCAGGTCTGATTGTGTCGAGATTAGCAACTCATCCAGCTATCAGCATGTTTTAGCTTCAAAATACTAGAATTTGTGCAGAAGTCACTATCATCAGGTGGCAAGATGGATCAGCAAGTCCTAACAAAACCAAATATATCATTAATAAAAAAAACTATTTGATAATTCTAGAGTTAATTTAAGCAACTCAATTAAATAACAATCTTCCACATGGCATCAGTAAGCGTATAGTTTCGCTTTTACCAAAACCAGCTGATCTCTGTGGGTTACTTCACTAGCAGAATCACAAAATGCTTCAAATTATTTACTTAACTCTAGAAACGTGTAAATTGATAATAAATCCCTTTGTGGATGTACTAAAATGCATGTTAGCATACAAATTATCTCATCACTGTGCAAGATTGACAAAGAAAAAAGAACAATAACAACATCAGAGTTTGATTGTTTCAGTAAACAACTGACGAGCTTTATCTGCAATAGAAATCCAAAATCAAGTTGTGACTCAAAACAGCTGATAGGCTAAAAGATGTTAGCATCCTTTAAAATCACTCATCAAAATAATACATGCTCTGGAATAAATGTATTCCCGAAATAATTTGATTATGTGTGCTGATTTTTTAACTGCTTTCCAGACCAGGTTTCTCTCGATTATACTGAATAACAACTAAATTAAACCTATTTAATAAATTCATTTGAGAAAGAATAAATGTCAGTGACTATAGAAATATATTCAGTTCTTATAACTGCTTAAATGTTACATTGACATAAATAAGTTTTTCCTATAATAATATTTTTTTTAAATCCACAAAATGGTATTACTAAGTAATACGGTCACTGATTACCCCAAATAAAATAATCACATGTGATTCAAAGAGAAAAGCAACGTAGACGATTTAGAAGTAGGCCAGGAAAGTGTACTAGCCAGCAAAAATAAACAAAAACAGTCTAGATCTTATGGATGCAAACCAAAACAGAAACAGATCCGTGGAGGGGCTGCAGAGGCTCCGCGCAGGCCATACACGTCCCACATAAATGCGACACACAGATCATCCGTCGGTATATCTTCCCATAAATCACCACCAAACTGATGATTAATACGACATTAGAGCGGAATGAATCAAACGGTCTAAAAGACACCAGGCGCAAACATCTGCTACACAACACAGGCGGCCATGATGGATCCATTTCCAGTGACATAATTTCAACATAGTGACCACACGCAGCGCGTCTCACGTTCACATTGATGTGCTGACAGTTCCCTTTAAATACAAGACGCATTATTATATATCACCGTTAATCATAATAACGCAAATTTCAATAATTAATCGTGTTTTCGGATTCTAAAGCTCCCCCGTTAGCCACTAGCAGCCAGGTTTGATGCTAAAGCTTCAGCTTAGTTTGTTGGCGTGTTCACATTTAATTAAAATAAACAAACGTAGAGGGTAAAAATATAAAACCTGCTTACCTGATACGAGTTTTTTTCTGAACAGCAGCAGAAATTAAGAGGCTTCTTCCGCCTTACTGCTGAATCTCTTTAATCCGGCGACGGCAGAGACGAGGGACGTTTACAACACAGCTCAGCGTGGTCACGTGACCCGTGGGAATCTCCGCTCCTTCCTGTAATAACAGGGAATTCTTTTACCGTTTTAACGCCACGGTGACTTTGCGTTTTTCCTGTAACGTCACGTGGGTCGTCATAGTTTAGCCATGAAATGTGGAGCACCAAAATACAAGGGCAAAAAGTGCTGCTGTAGAAACATCTAGAAAACTCCAGAGAGAGAGAGAGAGCGAGAGAGAGAGAGAGAGATGGAATTTTTCCACAGGAGAAAGAAAATTCTGACTTTTCCCCCCTCAGAATTCTGTCTTTAATCTCAGAAATCTGACTTTTTTTTCCCTAAGGATTATTAAAATTTGAATTCTGAGATTAAAGTCAGAATTCTCTTTCTTTTCTTTTCAGTTGCCCTAATCCTTTCACACGATATTGTTCTAATAGTTAAATCAATGATTATTAGTCCATAAGTAATAATCAATATTGATTAATCATGGTGGTTACTGAGTCATATCCTGGACCTTTACTGCATTCATCCTGTAGATAGTTCCCTTTTCTGACACCTGACTTAAGTTTGTAAGAACTCCAGGTAAACAGGAGAAGAAAAAAAAACAAAGCAAACAAGCAACAACAAAAAAAAAAAAACTCAAATGCAAGGAGTTGTGACCCTTGACCCTTAAACTGCCTAAAGCCTCTTTCACACTAGCATCGGCTCCGCATGGTCTGGATAGCATAGAGAGTGTTCACATTAGCATAGCCTGCCTTTTTTCAGGATGCAACCAGACAGTTTTTCAGCTCTCCTCCTGAGATGGTCTGCTTTAGGAATGAATCAAATCTTTTGAACGGGTTTTCAAAGTGAATGATGAGAGCCGAGTCCCTGCAGAGAGCCGTTCATCTAAAGGTTGGTTTATGCTTGTCGCGTCCGCGAGGTCCGCACGGCTCCGTGCAGCGAAATTGCGTCATTTTAACAACCACGCCCCTCCACCGCATCTCCGCACGGCCCAAAATTTCCGCAACGCGCACCTAGGAAAATTTCTAACCACGCGGACGGCCGGACGCGGAAAAACATGGCGGACCGGCAAAAACTAGTATGGCAGAGGTTCGTAAATACAGACATTTGTATGATTCAGCTCTCAGAGATCACCGTGATCAACATGTTGTCAATAATTCTTGGAGAGAAATAGCTCGCACTGTCGGAAAAGACGAGGACGCTGTTAAAAATGCTGAAATGCCATGTTGTAAACAGCCATTTTTACTTCTACTATGGTGTAGTGTTGGATGCATGCCGTAGAGCTCCATGCTGCCCCGTTCAGTTTGGGCGAGCCGCATCACCAAGCGGAAAGTGAATGCGTCAAGCATAAACCAAGCTTAAGTCACGCCCATCCATAGGTCCCCAAACATAGGAACAAATGAATAGAAGTCAATGGGGCTATAAAAGCTATTTTCTAATCCCGTTTGATATGTGCCATGGACTTCACATATGATGTCTGTGAATTTTAAACACAGTTTGATGCCAAGAAAGTGCTTATTTTCAAAGGGTTGCAAAAGTTATTTTAGGGTTTTTTGTGAAGACAGATTGAACTACAAATATTTGTCTCACCAAATTGATGTAATCGAACCCAGACATGAAGCTAAGAGAGAGAGAGAGCTGCAAATCCTTCTTCCAGGATGAGAGAAGGAGCATTGAATGTGGAGAAAACCACTATAAATCTGGCCATGTGTTAATTAGCAGCTACACGGGGAGAAGTGTTTCTTCTGTGACGTCATATTTGAATTACGTGACAGAAATAGTCGAAAATCACATAATATCTTTGCATTTAAGCTGAAGTGCAACATATGCGACTCGGGGTAGAAAATAGCTTTCCATTCACTTGCATTCTTTTTTCTGGGGACCCATGAGCCCCCTTCACACTAGCATCGGCTCCACACGATTCCACACATCCTTGCTTGGGAATGCAAGGAATGCAGTCAGAGAAGTTCTCAGCTCCTAGGTAATCAGCATGATAATGCCGTAAGGCTCCCGCTGAACCTTCAACGTTATTGTCATTGTACACAAGACCTGACAGTTTCAGTCATTCTTTATTATGAAACTTCATGTTTTCTCAGTGTCACACAATATAAAACTTCTGTTTGCACACATTAGAACAAGAAGGCTCGCTGCTGCTTTCAATGTGAAAAAAATCAGATGAATAAAACCACCTATTTGCATATCTTTCAATTGTTATTTGTTCATCTGAAACTCACTGGGATGTCTTTTATATGGTTTTGGATCTTTTTCAAAATCAAAATTCCCTTGAAAAGGTCACTCCTTTCAACGTGAGCTCAAATAAACTTGCTGTCTGTCATGAAATAAAAAACTATGGAAGCCCATTCCCGCCACTCAGATAAAAAAATGTATCTCATAATTATGAAATACTAGGTCATAATTATGAGTTAGCAATCTCATAATTATGACATACTAAGTCATAATTATGATATACAATCTCATAATTATGAGATAGTGTCTCATAATGAGATAGTAAGTCATAATTATGAGACAGTTAACTCATAATTATGAGTTAGCTATCTCATAATGAGATACTAAGTCATAATTATGAGATACTATCTCATAATTATGAGATACTAAGTCATAATTATGAGTTAGCTATCTTATAATTATGAGATACTAAGTCATAATTATGAGTTAGCTATCTTATAATTATGAGATACTAAGTCATAATTATGAGTTAGCTGTCTCATAATTATGACTTAGTATCTCATAATGAGATACTAAGTAATGAGATAAAGTCATAATTATGAGATAGTATCTCACACTGAGATAGTAAGTCATAATTATGAGTTAGCTATGTCATAATTATGAGATGATAATAAAAACCTATGGAAGCCCATTCCCGCCACTCAGATAAAAAAATATATATATCTCATAATTATGAAATATATATAATATATAATCTCATAATTATGAGATAGCTATCTCATAATTATGAGACAGCTAACTCATTATTATGAGATAATTAATTTTTTTAAATCTGAGTGGCGGGAATGGGCTTCCATAGAAAAACGTCTGTAGTATCCTGAAGTTTTTGGGCTATACAGCACTGCTGTTGGCAGTTTTTATTAGCTTAGACAGAAACACGGTTTCATTAAATGTACAGAAACAATTTACTCAAATAAGGCCAGAGGTTTCCGTTTGAAAAACGTAACAGATGTCACCGTCAGACAAGAATTGTAAAAGTGTGTCTCAGTGAGTTAAATTTAAACAGTTCTTTTCACGCACGTCCAGCTCTTGTGTAAGCATCAACCTTACAGAAGCTAATGATTATGAGCTCGGTTTCGAAGAAGATTGTCCAGGTCTGTCTTGTTGATGGTGCCGTAGGCCTGGGAATAGCTGCCTAGTTTGGCCCGGGGGTCTCCAGCAGCACCAACGTTGCTGTTGTTCTGGAACACTTTCTTGCTGAATCGTGCTCCTGGCTGAGCCTCGCGAACCTGAGGATTGGAGCGTCGGTGCTGCACATGGAAATGGAAGCTCTATGTTATTCATGTTTTAGAAATAAAAAAAAGGTCTTGAAAAAAGATTTAAAAAATGAAAAGCGGAATGCTCAGAAGAGCTAATTTCTTAGCTGTGATGAGTGACAGACTGACCAGGCGAGCTGAACTGATGTGCAGCCCTGCGGACAGAGACGCCTCCTCCTTTCGGACTAAAGGGTTGTTGTGGGTTTGGTTCAGGCTCAAGGAGAAGGCGTGGTTATGGGCCACAGGGGCTGAGCGGCCACGCTGCAGAATCTGGTCCATGGACTTAAATGAAGGGTCAAATGAGCGAAGAACCCAAGATAACATCACAAGTGCAGGTGAAGTACTTACTACAACAGTGCTGCTGCACTCTGCTGGTGGTGTAGTTTCACTCTCACTCCTGATCTGTGCTGCTGCTTTCCTGCCAGCTGCAGAAGACTGAGCGTAATGAGTTGCACCAACTGGAGAGCGAACAAAACCATCTGAACGGTGAAAAGGGGACTTTGTGAGATATTTTTCTATGAACACTGATTTCAACAGTGGGATAAACTCATACTTGGGGTGTGTGTGATGGGGTTATATGTCGGTTTCCCTAAGCCACGGCTAACTGGGCTCATCTTCTCCACGGCTGACGAAGTTGCAGCCCCGGTTTTGGTGACACCTGGTGGTGCGGTTGTATGGTTTGTCTTGTCGGTCGGCTCATGCTGCGTTTTCCCCCCATCGCCATGACCATTAGCTGCTACTGGGTCCTCCTCTCTTTTACCGCGCCTCACACTGCTTTTCTCCTGGCTACCTGCATCAGCTCCATCCTTGGGTGGTCTCAGCATCCCGTGGTGGGTTCTCCTCTCCAGTATCATCTATGAGCAAAAAGAAACTTGACCCAATTTGATCTGATTGTGCAATACTGACAGCCATGCTGAGTTTTTATTGGAGTAAGCCTCAACATACAGTAAATGACCTACTTACTAAGTGATAACTGAATTTGTGTCTGCATTCCGTACCTCATACAGCTTGTTGCGGTATTGACCCACAGATAGCTGAACATCATCATCCACTGGCAGTACTACATCGTAGTTGAGAGCTGGTTCTTTGGCTGGATTATGAAACCTAAAGCAAAAAAAAAAAAAAAAAAAAAAAAGTCATATCCATTAATGAGTACTGTCTGGAAGTAAATACTGATCCCTCTAATCATCAGTATCACAAACAGCAGAGAGCAAACTACTAAAAATACTGTAGATGTAAAGGAAACGTCAACTTTGCCATCAATCCACAAATCCAGAGTACTTGAGTCCCAGGCCCGGACTTGAGTCCTGACTTGTTTGCATGCTGATGAATTGCAAAGTTAGGTCTTAAAGAGCAAGTCACCCCCAAATCAACAATTTTTTCTGATAAACTATATAAATGCGTGTCTAATCGTGCTGCAGACACGTGCAGTCAATAGTTTAGCACTTTAGTGCATTTTAGTAAAAAACTTTATTTTCTGCCTAAAACTGTCAGTGTTGTGCCGTTGTCACATAAAAACTCTGCACTGCAGTTGAATTTAAATCTGCCATCGCTATTGGCTAAGAGGTACCCTAGAACGTTAGCTGGTACCATATGATGTCACAATGTCGTTGTGAGCCTTTGTGTGTGTATTTGTTAGCGGTTCCGCCCTCTCGGTCTGCTAGGCAACAGCATTTGTTGCATTTTTCAAACAGGAAGTGGGAGCGGAGTAATACTCTGGTAGGGGGTGACTTGCTCTTTAAACTTGGATGAATTAAACATGTCCAAAAGTACCTCACATTGTGTTGTTTGCTTTTATGAATTTTTTTTATCAAAGTCAGTAAAAAGCACCGTCAGGTGTCCATCGTGCAGGTGGACAATAGAAGACAAAATTGGGACAACTCAATTCCAATTCCAATTCTAATTTTATTTATAAAGCGCATTCACAAGGCATTACAACCAAACAAGGCGCTGTACACTAAAATGTTAGTTAATTAAACCGGCGTTATACAGTCATGTAGAACAGAGATAAAAGATAAAAAGGAAAAACAACAAAAGTCCTAAAACTAACAGTTAAAAATCAATAAAACACAGGGAGAAGAAAAAATAAGAAAAACATTTTAAAAAGAACCTCAATAGTACAGAAGTTGATATTGTGAATTCCATTTTTAAACAATGTAGATGTAAGTGAGGTTCATAATTATGTGGTATACGCTAGGTTGAAGTAGTGAGTTTTCAAGCGTGATTTAAAAATGCTAGCTGTTGGTGCTAGCCTCACTAGCAGTGGTAATGCGTTCCACAGCTTCGGTGCACAGACAGAGAAAGCCCTTTCTCCACGGCTTTTTAAACGTGCATTCGGAACAGCTAGGAGGAGCTTATCTTCGGACCTGAGAGCACGCGGCGGATTGTAGTAATGGACAAGTTCACACAGATATGGAGGAGCTTGATGGCCCCCATGCCCCCATGATATAAACAAGCTAACACAGCAGCACGTATCTAAATTATAAAACTGTTTAAAATACATTTGAGAACAACAAATAACGGAAATGTCACCTGTACACTAAATTGCTTAGTAATCTGACCTCATATAACATGCTAATATTAGCATTGGCTACTTGCTAATTTGTTTATTTTTCTTTATTTTTTTGGGTAACTAGGCGAGGTTTAGCATCTTACCCAAGAATGATTGGGCGTCCACTAGGGCTGGAGTCGAACCACTGACCAGTGGATGAGTGCTCTATACGTTTGACCACGGCCGCCCTGGCTACATGCTAATTCTGACACCAGCTACTTACTTTTCTGGGTGAAAATGTAACAAGTTGAGGGTGACGTTGGCTCAGGGGATAGAAGTTTGCCCTTTAGTCGGTGGGTTGCCGATTCGAACCACTTATTATATCTTTTGGCAAGACACCCCCACCATCAGGTGGTGGTCGGAGGGATCGGTGGCTACAATGTAGCTTACCACCATCAGTGTGTGAATGTGTGTATGAATGGGTGAACGACTGATTTTAGTGTAAAGCGCTTTGGAGTCCTCTGACTCAAAAAGGCGCGATTCAAGTGCAGGTCTATTATTTGTCATCGTTTTGGACTGGAAGATTTTTTAGGGGGGGAGACTTGAACTTGGCTTGTAGGCCCTAATGATGTGACTTGGACTCAACTTGAACTAATCCTATGTGAGTTGGACTTGAACTTGGACTCAAACACTAAGGACTCGAGTGTGACTTGGACTCGAGAGATGGCGACTTGACTTGAACACTGACCAGTATTAAAGCCTACATACCTGGCTACATATGGGTGCTGAAGGGCTTGATCTGCGGTGAGTCGCTTATCTGGGTTGAAAACCAGCAATCTCTTCAGCAGGTCGATAGCATCGGGAGGCACAGACGGCTGGAGGAGATCCTCTAAAGGCACCTGAGGTCTGGAGAAAGGAGAATCAAAAACCTCGAACAGCTGATACGATCAAAACCTTAAAATGATTCACGATGCCTCTTAAAAACAACAAATGGGTCAATAAATGTGTGCAGCCGGCTCATTTAGTTTCTCCATGTTTGTTCTTTCCACAACAAGGTGGCCTGTGTTGTCTTGTCACTGCTCCAGCTCAGAGTTTTTAATTAAGCTCCTTTCTGCGTGCACGCTCGACGACGGTCCCAATGGAGTGAAGACGTGACTTTGCGTCATTCCCTAACTTATCTCCGTGCCAACTGACAACACATTACCATGTAAGCGTTACATGAAAATAAAGCCTTGCTGGTTTTTTCCATCTAATAGATGGGAGCTTTATAGGGGAAAATATTTTTATATATTGGCTTACTTCAGTAACATTCTCTGAATGACGGAAGAGCCATATTCCGATCTGATTGCGATCACATCTGAAAGTATAAAATCATGTAATCAATTCAAAATGAAACTGCAAAAACTGTTTAGAATTCAGTCACAACAGTCTGATATTTCAGTCACCCTCTGGGCTTGGGTTAGGTATGGCACTCATGATCTTCTCGATTTGGTTGATGGTCGACGTTCCAGGGAACAAGGCTTTTCCAAGCAGCATTTCTCCCAGGATGCAGCCGAGACTCCACATGTCCACACCATTAGAGTACCTGTCAGATGACATAAATGCTCGTAGGCTCAAATACGAATATGTCCTCCATGTCAGGCATGTCCAAAGTGCAACCCGGGAGCTGTTTGCAACCTCGGAATGGTTTTGTGTGACCCCCCCGGTTGGATTTCTAAAATGATGAATTTGTCTCTCCAGTAGGTTGTCGGTGTGGAACGACATTTACTAAGATGCCTATTTTGGACCAATTTTGTAGCCTAGTGAACTAGACCAAATTCTTGCGTTGCAAAGTTTAGTCTAGGAACGCTCTATTGGAATCTTCGCAGCCCCTAGCAGCATTCTGGCTGGCCAATCACAGCTCTCTTGTTTCAATCCTATAGAGCGCTGTGATTTATCAGCTTTGTGGGCCAATCGGGGCCCTCTATTCGTCTAGTGGGCAGTATGATGCAACAGAGTGGAACAAGATGGCGGCAGCTTGTTAGAAACGACTTTTACGTCAATTTTGGACGATTTGGACTTGGATTTTATTAGATTCAGGTGCAGACAGATGTATTTAAGTTTTTTTTTTTTTTTTTTAGAAAAAAGAATGTATTTCCACCTTCTTCAATAGCAGACTGCCTCGTTTACTGACATCCGTTGCGGTGAGTTCGCCACATTGTTCGTTGTCCAGTAGCATGCGGCGATAGTATGAAAGACAACGGTAGTTGCCAGACTAGATAATATATTTATTTAGTCTGGCTCGCCAGGCTAACAATTTTGAGGAGTACAACAAAAAAAAAAAAACGTCTACAATAATTTTTGCATAATTTTACATATAAAAATTCATTTTTTGAGGCCTACAAGGACTCTTACAGCTACAATGGCCGATTTGGAAAACAAATGAACGTGAAACACGTTTTAATGCCTCTTAACAACATTCTAACATACTATAGCTAGGTGCGTAGATGAAAAAATTAAACAAATAAAACGAATAAATTAGAAATTTTTGCATTTGTCTAAAAACCTCAGCAAATAACACGTTTCGGACCAAAAGCAACTAATGCACCATCTGGTTGTTGGTCTCACCGAACCCCCGCACTTCCTTGGGTCCTCCATTAGTTTCGCACTCGTGTACTTAGCAACAGAACACCACTGGTCCGAGAGGTTCTCTGCTCAGTAATATTAGAAAAAGCCGGCTGCTACCACTTCAACTTTAGGACAAACTGCCAGAGCCCCCCCCCCCTAAAAAAAAAAAACACCATTTGAAGTCACGGACAAGATGTTTGTACCTAGAAAACAGCGACTGGTGTTTAGCACTATGTTGTTTCTTTTTGAAATGCGGGTCTCTGGTTCCGGTGTTCCGTCGATATGCGTTCTCCTCTAGAGATCTGTTTCTTTTGAACCCAGCTGCGAGTTTGAACCATCCACTCGCAAAAAATGTGTGTCGTAATCCTTACCCAACCCCAACCCTTACTCTAACCATAACCCTGAAACAAACATAAAAATTGTGCCACACATAAAATTAAAAAAAATTATATTCATGCAAAACATAAATTTTTGTTGCCAGGGTGGTTATGGTTAGGTGGAGTAGATGGAGTAGATAAATCTCAGTGAGTTCCCCCTGAATTGGTAAATTAACCAAAACAGTTTGAATGGGGAGTCACTGGCAATGCACGGGCCGTCGCGTGTCACTCTGGAACCCCTCCCCAATCGTTGGTTCGTATCAATAGAGAGTAAAACAGCAGAGTAGGGAAAATTTAAAGGACAGAATAAAGGAACACTAAGAAGTAGAAAAAATTAGATTAAATAAAGAAGAATAAAGAAAAAAACTAGGTTGGAACAAAAACTGGCCCGGAACAGGTACCAGATATGGTGTCATGGTGTAATGTCAACCACATCCGAGCCGGAATCGGCTGACCATGGTCCACCCAATTTCAAATCCAAAGTGTATGAGAGAGGGAAGGGGAGAGGCAAAGAGATGAGATCCGAAAGAGAATGGTTTCTGGTGTGGTGCCAAATACCTTTATAACAAACTATCTTAAGATGAGGATTTAAATGTTAAGTGTAGAGAGTGTAGGAGCCTATTAAACATAACGATAAAACCACATGTAATTACGCATTAGACTAAAGGATCTTAGGATTAGAACTGGAATCCTAGGGTGAGGGTTAGCCTTTCGGCTCAAGATAGGTAAGGGACTAGTCACCTAGAGATAGAGACTTGCAGCTAAGTGCAAAAGAAACTGATCTCGAGGGGGGAACACATATCGACATAACACCGGCAGAAGCGTCTCTGGAAGGCCACCCGAGGGAAGGGCTGAGTGTTCCATGTTTATGTTCAAAACCTAGCTTGTTCCATAAATTCACTAAAGTGGCTCTAACTGGATGATTTGGGCCCTTGTCTTCAAAGGTTTGGACACTCCTGCTTTTTGTGGTACAACTTTCACATAGAGGTTCAAATTAAGGTTGACGTTGGGATTTTATTCCTCTACATATGAAAAGCTCTTAGTTTGGTTACTAACTATGTCTGGTTATTGTCTTTATTGTTTACTAAAATCAACAACTGGGAAAGAGAAAAACAAGCAGAGAATACAAATCAGACAGCAACAACCGACGCGGATACCTCGTGGATCCAAGCAGGATCTCAGGCGCCCGGTACCACCGCGTGGCCACATACTCCGTCAACGCCGGGTTGCCGCTGTCCTCTTGGATCTGGTTGAGGGACCTGGCCAGGCCGAAGTCACAGAGCTTGACGATGCAGTCTGAATCCAGGAGCACGTTGGAAGGCTGTGGGAATAAAACAGAGCGGAGCAATTATTAAGAAACCTCATATCAACCAAACTCTCAAACAAGCTTCAGAAGAAAGACATTAGTCAGAAACAACAATGTAAAGGCGTGTTTTTTTGTGTGGACTGAAAGAAAAATGTTAGGAAAATCTTAAACAAGCCCAACTACAAAAGTAGATTTCTCTCTGAAGCATGATCGTCATCAGATTCCCGTATTCCGATGAGCTGTTGCTGACCTTTTGGTCTCGGTGAATAACACTTCCTGAATGGAGGTATCTGTTGGCTTTGAGGAGCTGGTACATCACATAACGCTTGTGGACGTCCTTCAGAAGAGAGCCTTTCTTTATCACAGCGTGCAAGTCAGTATCTGAGACAAAAGCAGAAGAGGAAAAGCGTAGAAGCCATCTAAAGGGTGTTTAACGAGTCTCGTGTAAACTCTCGTCAGCACTGAGCTGCTAAACAAAATGCCTTTTTTTTTAAATCAAAAACAGTGAGAACAGCACGTGCCAAACAAAAGAAGCCTGAGGGAATATTGCAGTACGGTCAAAGATCAGGCTGTGCAGAGGGTGAGGCCAGTCGGTGGACTCAGCAGCAACAAAGCCACCAGCCAAGGGGAGAAAAAGCTGTTTACACACACTTGCACAAGCACCTTTCCAGTGCCAAAACCCACTGCAGCCATTCTAAGA